TTGACAGAATTATGCCCCTTTTTGACTTAGAAATACATTGAATATGGGTAAAATCCACTTATTGCCTTAACCCTTTGAGATATTGCTTTGAAACTTTTAATGCTATTTCACATCATTACCCCATCTGTACGCAAGAGAAGGTAACTCTGTCAAGGATTTGTTTTAAAAATTAAGGCCTTTTATCGACTTAGAATCTTGGTTAAGTTTTTTGTACCACCTCACTTTATTTCAAAACCATTGGAGGTATTGCTTTGAAACTGACCATACTTGTTTACCATCACGACCTTCATCAACAGACAAGAGGACATAACTCTGTCAAGGTTTTTGACAGAATTATGCCCCTTTTTGACTTAGAAAATACATTGAATATGGGTAAAATCCACTTATTGCCTTAACCCTTTGAGATATTGCTTTGAAACTTTTAATGCTATTTCACATCATTACCCCCATCTGTACGCAAGAGAAGGTAACTCTGTCAAGGATTTGTTTTAAAAATTAAGGCCTTTTATCGACTTAGAATCTTGGTTAAGTTTTTAGTACCAGTCCACTTTTTGACTGAACTGTTTGAGATATTAATTTGAAAGTTGGAATACTTGTTTACAATCATGATTCCCAAACATGTCCAGGAGAAGGTAATTCTGTCAAAGATTTTATTTGAATTATGGCCCTTAACTGTCAATGTTTTGTATTATAGGCAAGCACTAAAAAAGTCGAGCGCGCTGTCTTACGGACAGCTCTTGTTTATAGAAGATGTAATGAATACTGCCTTTCATGGTGAATTATAATGATATTGCCTCAAATTTATGGTGAATAACTAAAAATGTTGCATTTTATAGTGAAGTTTAATTCAAACTTGCTCTACAAGATATTGAAATATATTTGGATTTGTACACAGCTTAATAAGACCTTGCATTTGATTTACTATTTTGTACTGTTCATTGTTGAATAACCTGTAATTATTAAGAATTTTGCCATTAATGTTGATTAATGATATTGCCTTTTTGGTGAATTACTCATACATGTCATAGTGAATTATTGCCTAATTATGGTTAGTAATATTGCCTTTTAAGTGTGATTTATTAATAGAATTAGCATTGATATGTTAATTAATATGAATTTTGATCATTAATGATTATTTTAATGATAATATTGCTTTTATTGTGATTTACTGAATATATCTGTTATGGTGAAATGTTTAGAATGTGTTGTCTTTATAGTGAATTATCATGAAAATAACCAAATTGTAATAAAATTATTGCCTTTGTTGATAAATGTTATATTTAACATTTCCTGTCAAGCAAACATAAGTTTTATCTTTTTATTGTTGTTGTTTTTCTTTATGAAAGACTTGTGCCATTGTTATTCAATCCATTTGTTTAATGCAAATTCCATATTTCCAAGATGCAAAATTTTAGTATTATTTTCTTGGCAATAGATTTGTTTAAATTGCAAATAAAATAGTGAAAAGAATAAGTTTTTTGTTGTTTATTCTCTTGTATGAAAGTAACAGTGAATGAAACGGCTTTGATTATTATGGGGAAGAAGGAAGACACATTATGCATTATTTTGGGTACATATACCGCCTCGGTGGTCGAGGGGTTAGAGTCGATGACTTCTAAACCAGTTAACTCTCTGGCGTGGGTTTGATCCCCGGGAGATGCTTTGGTAGTTTAGCGCGGAGGAAGGTAGTCTAGTACTGGTGTAACTCTCCAGGAATGGTGGTTAGGAAACTACCCGCCTATGACTAAAATACTGCTGGGAAAAGGCGTAAAATGAAACAAACAAGATTTTGGGTATATGATAAAACCTGGATACATCAAGTAATTTTCCACAATCTTTACAGAACAAAGTTTTCTCAAGTGCTTGAGGTCTTACCAACATTGTGTAAAGGTCATATAGCAATTTTCCAGCTTTACTGGTGGAGGATTAGAACACTGTGCATCATTTCAGGCACAAGTGGGTAACGTAATTGAAACATTGATGACAAGTAAGCTAACTGAATAGTTTCCTCACATGAAAAAACCCAAATTCCCTAGCAAGAAAAATTGTCCACATCAAAACAGACATTCAAACTGAATTTTAAGAATGTTCCGTGTAATATGAATGGTTACACTTTATCAGACAAAATATAGGGCAAGAGTCTGTTACAGTGATTGGTAATACTGCACATTTGTAACATCGCATTTTAGACAGGTTACAGTTGTATATGACCATATATAAACTGTTGTTTATATTGCAACATGTTTATATACTGTCATATAACCTGTCAGGAATATTTATAGCTGCAAACTTCCTCTTTTAGAGAAAAAAGTAAGATTTTTTCATAAATTGACAGCAGTCGTTTAAATAGAACTATATAAATGTCACTATTATCCAATGAAAGGTGACGTTACAAACTTGCAGTATTATAAAGTTTTACATGTACGGCTGCAATCAATATTATGAAGAAATTAAAAAAAAAAAGATGCATGTTGTATCATAAATTTGTTATAAATATTTCTGACAGGTTATATGGCCCTATATAAATGCAATATTTCCAAACAACTGTTTAAATAGGGCCTAAAAACTTGTCAAAAATCAAATAAATAATATCATTGTTGGTTCTGATCAGAAAGAAAAACAAAAAACACAATTTGTTCATATAACATTTAATGAAATAGATACATCTTATTTTATAGTCATAATGGATAATTTGAAAACTGTATTGTCTATTTCATCTTTAACAGGAAATTAGGAGTCCTTCATGACAATCGAGTTTTAAAAAAAAGTAAAAGAAAACAATACATATAAATGAACACACTTGGTGGAAAAGGCAAAAAAACCTCTGTGAAATTCAATTCATGTAAATAAATATTATGCTATTTATTAATAACAAGTAAGATAAAAGTATCTTTAATTTTATGTTGAGGTGCAATTAACAATAAAATTATGAATGTGATACGGTTGTGACTCGCCAGCTTTTACTTGACCAAGGAAAGAATGAGTTAAAATGGGAATAAAAACCAGAAAAAGAAACCCCCAACAAAATAATGTAATTTCTCTCCTGTCATGGCAATACTGACCATGTTCACTATAGTACATTATTTGTCATATGTAAACATTAAAACAATAAAAGGTAAAGCACTTCAGTTTAGATAATTAGTACTATATGATTAGTACTATATACCATATAGAACAAATATTTAAAGAAATATACAACATTGTAAAGATAATCATGCAAAATATGAAACAAAAATGAGTCAAAGACAGAAAAGGTCGGGTTGCATTTGTATACAAAATATCACGAGGCTGTGATGTTACGGTAAAAATTTACCACTGAGCATTAATGTCAAAAATTTAACTCAGTTAGTAAGCCATGAAATAATAAGATCTATGATAAGTAGTTGCTGAGAAAACTTTTATGAAAATTACCTACCTGTACCATTGACCATTAATGTCAAAAATTTAACAAAGTCGGTAAACAGGAAGTGGATGATATATGAGCAACAGACCCGAAATGCAATCCCACAGTATGAAATTACATGTCAATGCTGTATGCCAAGTATCAAGAGGCTGTGATTAGTTGCTGAGAAAACTGTTACGAAAATTTTTCCCCACCCGCCTACCGCCCAGCATTCACTATACTTTAACCCAACTTTGCACCTGTGCAACCCGACCAAAAACAAATCTAAGAAAAAAATATGACAGATAGGAAATAGAATTCAGTGGAGACAAGATTTTATATAATTAATGTAAAAGTCATACAGTGATCAAACCTTTCATTTATTTACGAAGGGACATTATTCTGTAAAAAAGTAATGCTATAACTATGGGTCTTTGGATAGTGATCTGAAAGTCATGTGACCCTGCTTAAAAATACCTTTTATAGATAATGAGGTACATAGTTTGCCCTTGTCTAAACCATTCTTGATGAAGTTACAGTAGACCTGAAACTGGTAGAATCTTTCATGAATATAGTTAAAACTGACACATGTTTGAGATGTTGTGTCTACGTACATGCTTTCAACAGTGTTAACAGAATGTTAACCCAATGCATTGATAAATCTAACAGCCCGAATAAACATTGAGTGGTCTATCTAGCTTAAAAGGTAATATTTATCAACTTTCCATCACTCACTGATCAAAAGAGGATAAGAAACTCGGGTAAATGGTCAAATTTGGACCACAAAAAGTATATAGAATTAAACAAAACAAAAGTAATTAGAAGTAAAAATCAGTATTTAAAGAAACGAAAAATATCAAAATAGATAAATATATACAAAGTTAAAAGAAATTTTATTGAAAAAAGAAAGAAAGATATTTTAAAAGAATATAAACAAAGATTAAAAGAATCTATAGAAATATTTACAGAAGGGCGTGTTTAAAACTTTACATCCTGTAACAAGTTATAAAACGATAAAAATAAACGAAATATATACACAACTTGTATAAAGATACACTATATATGCTCAAATTCAATGGTTGAAAATATTTAAGATTACTACACAGTCTCTTTGTAAATATAAAATTAACAGGATTCGCCCACATTCCAAGTAGATACATAATGTTTTAAACTCTATTCACTAGAAGTGGTCACAATATGAATATATAGTGCCATTAAAAAAACTGGCATTTTTTTATAAGAAAAGACCAACTTCAATTGACCTTTCAATACAAAATTTGAACACTTTGTTTACTCAAATCAAAAGCATTCAGTAAGGCTTTCAAGGATTTCAATAAATTTCTGCGATAAGAATATTTACTCAAATTTGAGCATAGTATATCTTTAACTATACTTCTTGACTGTAGGATATCTTACGGTACAAAAACATAATTTACAGGTACAAAAACTATGTTTATGTCAAATCCTAAAGCTTTTAATCCTTGCAAAATCTACTAAAAAAAAAGTGCAGCTTACTTAAACTATAACAAACTGAAAAACTTAAATGGACTTGTCTAGTTTCCATTTTCTGGAGCAGTCCGTTATCAATTTTGCGGTATATCAAGTCAAGTTAAAAAATTTAGAACCTTGTCAGTCAGAGTGTATTGATGAGCAGACTTGACTGAGTGTATACTGAGGGAAAAGGTAAAATCTTTTTTCTGTTCCAGCATGGTAAAGGTGAAAGTGACAATATGTCAATCCAAGGGAACAAGTGACAGTCAAAATAAGATTACATTCTGCCATTATTTCTTTCAATTTTATAATTTACTAAGTCTTAACAATACAAAACCCACTTTATCCAGGAAAATTTCTGTTAATATCCATCAGATATTACCTGTAACATTCTGGGGCAAACTTTTTTACATTTTAAGCATATTTATATTTTATCCTTATCAGCTGTTAGTCAATGAATTAATTACAGTCAACCTTTTGAAATACATGTATATAAATTCAGCTCAACAGGACGATGAAAAAAATGAGCATAATGTCACTTTAAAGCAAAACTTATCACATCAGGACAACACACTAAAATTCCCATCTCTACCTATACATATGTTACTCAAAATGTCAAAATTTAACATTTTCAATACCAAAATCAATCAAATGTGTCCTATTTCAGCTAATAGCCAAATATGTTTTGCAGAAAACTCAAACTTAAAAAAAATGGATGCATTGAAAAAATGTTCAAATCACACTTTTCATCTGATCAAAATGGTATTATTGATGTAATTTATGGGGTAAATTCGCCAGGTGATGTGATGGTGGTGTTTGGACTGCCGGCAGGACTCGGGGGTCGTACATTCTTGAACTTATTGATCAATGCCCTGTGAGAGGTTCAACTGGACCTGTATACTGTCTATCAACCTTTGACACAGTCGGTGTTCCTCCTGGTGACCTGTAAACATTGAGAGCGTCTTAAATCAGTAAGTAGATCTACTACAATACAAGGGTTATAATTAATATGTGTCCCCTTATGAGAGCCATTTAAATAGTTGTATTAAGGGGGAGACAGGACAGTTTGTTGCCAATATGTTGCGGCTACTTTATAGCATGTCGCAGCTACTTTATAGCATGTTGCAGCTAGACTGTAGCAGGCGAAACAAAAAGGTCACTCGGATTTACAGTAAACTTTTTATTTTGCTGCTTGATTTTTCCTCGCACTGTTATACTTTAAACTTCAACTTTCCAGCTTTAGGAAAGGAATAAAACTTCTAATACCTGTCTGTACATTTTTTCATGCATGAACAGGTAGCCAAGTTTGTTTGTTTGGGTTTTAGGTCACACCAACACAGTATAAGTCATTTGGCGACGTTCCTGCTTTACTGGTGGAGGAAGACCTCAGGTGCCCCTCCGTGCATTATTTCAGGCACAAACCAGAGTAGAACCACCGACGTTCCATAAGCTAGCTGGATAGCTTCCTCACATGAAAGAATCCAAAGTCCCTGTCGGGATTCGAACCCAAAGCAGTGAGGTAGCCCATTAGACATCCGGTAAGAAGAGGGACAGTTTTCTGATGTGTTAGAAGTCAAATGTCTCTGATGATCTCTTGGGATCATTGATTACAGCATTTTTAAATCTGGACAATTGAGTACAGCTCAAACCAATGCTAGGGGGATGTGAGGGATGTTGCACCTTTTCATTATCCCTCATGTACAGGCTCAATCAAAATCAGTCTGCAAATTTCATGTAATTTTGTTGTTATAATTAATGCTTCAAAGGGATCACCCTTTTTCCAGATTTTTTTATTTCATTACTTAAACTTAGGGTGTATGGTCACCAAGTAAGAGAATGCTTGTGCCCCTAGTGTATATAAATGCCTTACTTGTTTTCATCCACACATTTCAGTCTTTTCCAAGGATTAGATGACAGTAACTCTTGATGGAGACTTGTAAATGAACAATCTAATTGTGGAGTCGAACCAAGAATACTAAAAACGAAGATTTACAAAACAATATAAAAACCACTGTTAATCAATATTGGTGGACAGGACTTACATATTGTATATTTTCCCCTGTATTTGTACAAAATTTGTAGTACGTTCACTGGCTGTGTGGGATCAAACCACATCGGGGGCAAGCCTCTTTTTCTTGACCAAAATATTTATACTCATTGCTTAATACAGGTTGTTTACAGGAACAGATTCAAGTGTGTTTCAATAAGCTTATAGGTTCCAGGCAACACAAACTAAAATAAATTTGTATTAATAAAGTTTGTAGTACAATATCCAACTCCTAAGAAATGACAAATCAATAGAAGTTAGAAGACCTACTATATTGTATTTGTATTATGTCAAAAGAAGATTTAATTTTGTGAAGGTTTGGAAAGATACTTTTTATAGGGAGAAAGGCCCCTTACTAGCATAGAATAGTACTGGTTAGGGAAGTAAAATTCTGGTGAGCTGTAAGACAAATATAAAACATAGACTTACTCGTCTGATTCCTGCATCCTTGTTTTCTTTTCTACCCCAGGTGTCTTAACCTGAAAGAAATATAATACAAGTTAAAAATAGACTAGAATATAGTTGCATGCCTCCAGATGAGCCAAAAATATATTCAAGAAAATCAACTTAGAGAAAAAATAAACAAAGATTTTAAGAAAAGTAGAAATATTCACAATTCAAGTAATAATTTACATATATGCATTTGTGCAATGAATGGCTGATTTTGCAGTATTAATCACCATATTTGTGTGACTAAAGCAGTAAGGGCTATTTTTGTATCATTTTTTTTCACCTTTATTGGTAATTTATTTGGATTGAATGTGCCTTTTGCAATGTGTAAATTTCATTCTTAGTTTACAAAGCAATATTTTATATTTTATTCTAACACGACCCACATTTTTCCGCATTGAACATAGAAAAACCCAAAGTGTGTGTTATTATGCAATAAAATCACAGTTTGACGTTCTATATTTAGCCATATGATGTATAGTTTATCGCTTGATAACATCACTGTTTGTCGTTCGGATACGCATCATTATATTACTCGTGATATAATTCCTCACATCCAAACTCCAAACAGTGATATGTTATTGAGCGATAAAATCAGACATGCTGCTTTAACAGTTATAGGGGCCAATACATAGAAAATGTATTTATATAGATATTTCCATACTTATTTCAATGTAAAATATAATTCATTTGTTCACTCTACACTATTTAACATTTTAAAACATTTTCAAAAATTTCATGAATATAAGCATGAATCTGGAGGTGTGCTGCTTTTTAAAAGACCTTTTCATCTTTGTTAATTATCTACCTGATTAAGCCTATTCTGAATGGGTGTCAGTGGCTTTCTTCCTTGTATTTTTATCTGAGGTGTTGTTCCTGCAACAAATGGAGGGACAGGTGGGGGAGGCGGTGGTGGTGGCATTGGCACACCATTACAACCCTTTGCCGTCTTCCTTGATGGGGTTCCATTTGGGTCTTGAACTTTTCGTATCCTTTTCTCCTCCAAACGTTTGGACACTCTCCTACCTTTAGTCTCTGAAAAAAACCAACAACTTAACACTTCAGACTTTCAAAGCTCTATCAATTTTAGTAATATGTCTGACACAATTGAAACTTATCTATTAAACAACAAGATATGATTGTAAAACATGTATGCCCCCTATCGGCAGCCAATTAGTCATGTGATCAGGTTATTATGCATGACTTCTGACCCAGTGAACAATTATTAAGGGTTATCTAGTATCTACTGGTCATGACTAGTCACAAGGTAATAATTATTGTGACCCCATAGGTTGTGTGCAGCAATTTAAGTTATTACAAATCTTACCAAATAATATATGCATAAATTTTATGAATCATGTCGGCCTCATTAATGACAGCCAAGTTGTTATATTACATAAGACCTTCAAATGTGTATACCAAAAGCATTTTTAGTTTAATTTTAAAGTATGAACCAAGGCAACTTGAGTTGTTGAGTTATTGGTCAGAAACTGTCATTAAGTACAAGGTCAATATGACATTGACCCCTTGACCCCAAAATCAAAAGGGGTCATAACTGGTCATGACCAATCATCAAACTAAGTTTGAAAATCCTAGGCCTAAGCATTCTTTAGTTATTGATCGGAAACAAAATCAATAGGAGTCATCTGCTGGTCATGACCAATCACCATACCAAGTTTGATGTTCCTAGGCCTAAGCATTCTTTGGTAATTGATTGGAAACCGTTTTTACCTACAAGGTCAATGTGACCTTGACCTTTGACCCCAACATCAATAGGGGTCATCTGCTGGTCATGACCAATCATCATATCAAATTTGAAGTTTCTAGGCCTAAGCGTTCTTAAGTTTTTGATTGGAAACCATTTTTACCTACAAAGTCAATGTGACCTTGACCTTTGACCTCAAAATCAATAGGGGTCATCTGCTGGTCATGACCAATCATCATACCAAGTTTGAAGTTTCTAGGCCTAAGCATTCTTTAGTTATTGATCGGAAACTGTTTTTACCTACAAGGTCAATGTGACCTTGACCTTTGACCCCCAAATCAATAGGGGTCATCTGCTGGTCATGACCAATCATCATACTAAGTTTGAAAATCCTAGGCCTAAGCGTTTTTTAGTTATTAATCGGAAACAAAATCAAGAGGTGTCATCTGCTGGTCATGACCAATCACCATAACAAGTTTGACGTTCCTAGGCCTAAGCGTTCTTTAGTAATTGATTGGAAACCGTTTTTACCTACAAGGTCAATGTGACCTTGACTTTTGACCCCTTGACCGCAAAATCAATAGGGGTCATCTGCTGGTCATGCCCAATCATCATACCAAGTTTGAAGTTTCTAGGCCTAAGCATTCTTTAGTTATTGATCTGAACCGTTTTTACCTACAAGGTCAATGTGACCTTGACCTTTGACCCTAAAATCAATAGGGGTCATCTGCTGGTCATGACCAATCATCATACCAAATTTGAAGTTTCTAGGCCTAAGGGTTCTTAAGTTTTTGATTGGAAACCATTTTCACCTACAAAGTCAATGTGACCTTGACCTTTGACCTCAAAATCAATAAGGGTCATCTGCTGGTCATGACCAATCATCATACCAAGTTTGAAGTTTCTAGGCCTAAGCATTCTTTAGTTATTGATCGGAAACCGTTTTTACTTACAAGGTCAATGTGACCTTGACCTTTGACCCCTTGACCCCAAAATCAATAGGGGTCATCTGCTGGTCATGACCAATCATTATACTAAGTTTGAAGTTCCTTCTTTAGTTATTGATCGGAAACCGTTTTTACTTACAAGGTCAATGTGACCTTGACCTTTGACCCCAAAATCTATAGGGGTCATCTACTGGTCATGACCAATCACCACACCAAATTTGAAGTTCCTAGGCCTAAGGGTTCTTTAGTTATCACTTGCAAACTATTTGGTCTCTTCTTTGAAGTGGGGGCATAATAATATATGACGTCAATAAACCAAATGATGTCAGGAAAATAATAATTACTTCCAAGCTCAATGTACTTCTACATATTTATATCAATATTCTTTTTTATATGCATGTTAGAATGAAAAATGATATTAAGTTTTCTTTAATTTTAGTGTAATAATGCACAGTTTATTGTTCAAATACTTTGTAATTAATCACTCAGGAGGGCCTTCTTAGTAACAAAAATGTCATACATGTTATTTCAATATTTAACAGCTTGAGAAAAAAACAACTTTTACCGAGTGAGGTATCAAAAGCTTTCTGCATGTTGTGTTTTAAGTCTTGTAGATGTCGGTCTCTCTCGGCCTCAGATACTCGCACCAGTGGACTGTTCTCTCCATGGATCATATCATATACCTTCACCTACAATTATAGAGAAATATGGAATCCCCAAATAACGCACAAAACAACAAAATTAACAAGAGCTGTCACAGGAGACAGCGAAGCTCGACTAATAAAATACTGGACGCAGTAAGGAGGACAAAACTATGAAAGAAAAATCAATTATGTATAATTATGTATTAAGTTATAGTAAAAAAAATAACATTTGTTAACATAAATTCCAAGATCAAGGGGAATAATTCTAGAAATAGTCATGCTAGAGTTATGGACCTTGCCACACAACATTTGTGTAATGATAAAAAATATATATTTGAAGTTAGAAGTAAATACCTTAAAAAGTAAAAAAGTTATTATATTTCTTAAAGAAAATCCTAAGTTCAAAGAGAGATAAATCTGTAAATATTGCTACAAGAGTTATTAACATTGTCACATATTAAAAATGTAATTGATGATAAGGAATAAGTATTTGAAGTTAGAGATAGATACCTTTAAAAAAAAGTTATAATAAAAAATAACATTTTTCTAGTAAAAAAATCTAAGTTTATGGGGAGATAATTCTTGCAATATTGGTGCTAGAGTTATGAACCTTGTCACATAAGATGTGGATGATGATAACATAAACATATTTGAAGTATGAAGTTGATCCCTTTAGAAATAAATAAGTAACAGTAAAAAATAATATTTTTTATGGAAAATTCTAAGTTCAAAGGGAGATAAATCTGAAAATATTGGTGCTAGAGTTATGAACCTTGTCACATAAGATGTGGATGATGATAACGTAAACATATTTGAAGTATGAAGTTGATCCCTTTAGAAATAAATAAGTAACAGTAAAAAATAATATTTTTTATGGAAAATTCTAAGTTCAAAGGGAGATAAATCTGAAAATATTGGTGCTAGAGTTATGAACCTTGTCACATAAGATGGGAATGATGATAAAGTAAACATATTTGAAGTATGAGGTTGATCCCTTAAGAAATAAAGAAGAAACAGTAAGAAATAGTATTTTTTGAGGAAAATTCTAAGTTCAAGGGGAGATAAATCTGAAAATATTGGTGCTAGAGTTATGAACCTTGTCACATAAGATGGGGATGATGATAAGGTATATATATTTGAAGTATGAGGTTGATCCCTTAACCCATTACTTCATATACACGCCTTTTAACGCCTTTTTCACCCCCCCCCCCTTTTTGTTGTCTCAAATGATGAAAAATGCCTTATTTAGGCCCCAAACACTTGTTTTTGTTTGAGAAATGTTGTTAAAAAAGTGACATCTTTTTCGGCGCGGCCCCCCACCAAAAGATACATCAGGGGGTTGCCAGAAGGGGGATGTGCCCCCTTCTGTTTGGGGGGGGTTTGAAGGGGGGCGGAGTCCCCCTCATCGCCAAGAAAATTTTGGACTTGTGAGAGGCTGAAAAAATGACCCCAGATTGATCATAAGGTAACGTGTACCAAAACGCTGAAAAGCATTTGACTCTATCTCAATCCATTGAGAAGTTGCAGCACTTTGAAATCAATTTTGATGGAAAAAATCAACGCAAAATAGTGATTTTTGGCAATTTTGAGATGTCCCCTCGTTGCCATGGTAACAGAAAATTTAAGCCTGAGCATGTTGTTGCAAGGGCAATGGTCCAGTCAACATTTGTGCCAAGTTTGATTAGTGTTGAAGCAGTTTTTATAGTATTATAGCAATTTGAACTTGTAACGGGAGACTTTTCAATGAAAACAGCCATTTTTCACAAAATGCTCATGAAGCAATGGGTTAAGAAATAAAGAAGTAACAGTAAAAAATAGTATTTTTTAAGGAAAATTCTAAGTTCAAGGGGAGATAAATCTGAAAATATTGGTGCTAGAGTTATGAACCTTGTCACATAAGATGTGGTTGATGATATGGAACATATATTTGAAGTTTGAAGTTGATACCTTATGAAAGGACAAAGTTATAGTGAAAAATATTTTACTGCACCAAAACTTTAATCTAAAATCTGGACGCGGACGCCGACGCCGGGGCGAGTAGGACAGCTCTCCATATACTTCGTATAGTCGAGCTAAAAATGTTGCAGGCTTGGTTTGATTGAGCCTGTTCATGGACAGTACTGGAAAAGTGTCCCAGCTTAAGCAGTCTTCAACATTTAATATGACATGGTAAAATTTGGAATTTTGAAATATCTTCAGATGTATTCATACTGCAGTTGTCACGGAATCTTCAATGTGACATTTAAGTGGCATTCCTTGAGTGGCATATGTTCCCTAAGTAAAAGAATGTGTGTACCGTAAGGCATAACAATAATGATAGGCAATAAATTTCAAAACTTTACCTCTTAGTTCATTTAATTGTTGATTATAATATCAATATGATATATTTTTTATTTTATTCTAATCTTACCTTCATAAAAGAAAAAACACTGCCAGTTTCAAGGTCCTGCCTTTTCTTTTTCTTCAAAAGAGTTGTAAATTCATCTTTATGCATGTCCAAATAGCCCATTAAATCCTATTTAAACAAGCAATTATCATAGCATTGCAAGCAATCCATAAGTCCCCTACCGGTTAGAACCCCATCAACATTCTGAAGGGCCATTCACTATTTTAAGTAAATTTGTTGGAAAAGTTCTTTAAAAGTGATCACAGGAAACAGTTTTTATGAACAGACAGATAGACGGACTGAAGGACACTCTAAAGTTAATATTTGAAACATCCCTGTTACCAAAATATAACATTTTAAAAGCAAAATTCTTAAACAGGAGATAACTCTTGAATTAAAGATGTAATTTCATAAAAATTTTCAGCTCTTTTTGACTAATCACAAATATTGTTATATTTGCCATGTTTTAAGCCTATTTGTTGCCAAGGCAACTGATATTTTTTCAAAATAGGAAGAACAGATAAGACATGCATAATCTCAAGACTGCCATCTACCCATATGTCAAGTTTCATAAAAATATTTCCAGTACTTTTTGAGTTATCACTGGATTCAGTTTGTGTAAAATTTGCCATATTTTCAGTCTATGTGTTGCCATAGCAACCAGAATTTTCAACATAGGAAGAAAAGAAAAAGACGTGCATAATCTCAAGACTGCCATCTACCCATATGTCAAGTTTCATTAAAATATTTCCAGTACTTTTTGCTTTATCACTGGATCCAGTTTATTTGTAAAATTTGCCATATTTTCAACCTATTTGTTGCCATAGCAACCAGAATTTTCAACATAGGAAGAAAAGAAAAAGACATGCATAATCTCAAGACTGCCATCTACCCATATGTCAAGTTTCATAAAAATATTTCCAGTACTTTTTGCGTTATCACTGGATCCAGTTTATGTGTAAAATTTGCCATATTTTCAGCCTATTTGTTGCCATAGCAACCAGAATTTTCAACATAGGAAGAAAAGAAAAAGACGTGCATAATCTCCATACTGCCATCTATCCATATACCAAGTTTCATTAAAATATTTTCAGTACTTTTCAAGTTATCGCGGGATCCAGTTTTGTGGACGGACGGATTGACGGACTGACAGACGGACGGACGGAGGGTAAACCTAAAGTCCCCTCCGGTAAACCGGTAGGGGACTAAAAATATTTCTATTTTGAATTACAGACAATCAACATTTCAAATATAATATGCAGTAAAAGTACAGCAGATCACAAATTAAACCTTTCAAAACTATTGAACTCTTTCAATTTAACATTTAAAGGAGATATTTCACTAGAAGCAAGCTTTAAATAAGCATAAATCAATGCTGGAAGACGCACTTGGAGCAGAGGACTCAATTATTCCACATTGTTAAAACTAGAAAGTCTTAAAATCTGTATGAATTGCAAGCCAACCAAACCAAATGTTTACGAAAATGTATTTAGATTATAAAGAAATACACTCAGAGTTAAATTGAAACTGATTTTTTTCACAAATTTTATTCAGTTTCTATCGGTGTTATTCTGTACTTTATTTGTAGTTTTGAATAATAAACATGTAAAAAAAGCAAATGTGCTAATATCGTTTATCTTCCAGGGGTCTGCTTAACTAGATGTGCTCCAAAACAATGAATCAAATGATACTACATGTACATTAATGAATCGAATGATAATACATTACATTAAGAGCCTTTTCTGTTTCCTGCTCGGCCTGATTCTCGTACTCCTCAAGGGTGACAGGTTTACAGTACAGAGTTGTTGGTTGGTCAGCCTCATCAAACTCCTCCCCATCCTCAACTCCTCTTATAGACAATGTCTCTAACCGAGGTGATGTCATCGTGTCCTGAATTTATAATAGTAATGATATTTTACGTAAAATTCAACAGATTTAAAATATTTTGCACAAAAACTTTGTTGTTTAGGTGTATGACTAAAATATGTCAATTTTGACTAATTTTAACACTATTCATATGGAAATGTGCCATTACTGTGAGTGAAATAAGTGATGACGCAAAATTAGTGATGCTGACTATACAGTACTCCCTGCGGGTACCGCAGCATCTTTGCCAATTCCGGCGTAAAAAGAATATGTGTTAATTTGCACAAGTAATTATACATATCGACTGTTTTCAAAATTAAAGTGAAACCAAGTGTTACTTTCTGTATTGGGGACAAAAGCCAATATGTGATTCCTGTCCAAACTGGGTATATCTGAAATATTGTTCTGATGGGAGTATTTAACAGTATTGATAGATGTCCTCAGTGTAAACAAACTGACTAATGTAACAGACAGTTTAAAAGGGTGTTTGCTTGACTCCAGACCTGGGGTCTTGACTCATGAAAATTGTCAAATGTACTCATTTAACACATCATAAAATCAGCTTGCGTCTGATAATTTCCGATGGATGCATGGAAAATTTACTATTAGTCAATCAATAAGTGTTGCCGCCAGAATTTCCTATCAACACAGCAATTAGCCTACAGGTACAGTAGGCATGACGAATTATCTGCATTAAAGCGGTTTAAGCTAATCACTGAAAAATAATTAATATGTTTCTTTCAAACTTGATGTTAATTAAAGCATAATAAGCCATTATATATGATACAAATCAAAATAAAAAAGATTTTGGTTGCCTTTTTTCTCATAATTATTTCCCTTTTTCCCCATTTTCAGGAAACAAAATACCGTAAAATCTCGACTTAACGTCCCCACCCTAATTAACACCCCCACTCACTTTTGAAAACCTCATGTGTAATTTAAACTAAGAAAATAACTGAAATAAAGAAACTCTCTGACCAGTTCAGCGATTTATATTCAATATAAGTCCATTTATGAAAATATCTGTGAATCAAAACTTAAACACTTTAAAGTTCACTAAAACAGAGTGAAGTCCACTTGAAAACAGTAACTGTTATAAAAACACAAAAGGGTATTAAAACATATTTACAATACACACACTACCGATAGAGCATTGCACTCTAGCGTGGACAACTACACAGATGTGGAAGTGGGGTGTGTTGACACATTGTAAACAAGATATGTTTGTAAAACATGTATGCCCCCTATCGGCAGCCAATTAGTCATATGATCAGGTTATTATGCATGACTTCTGACCCAGTGAACAAACAATTAATAAGGGTTATGTAGTCTCTACAGGTCATGACTAGTCACAAGGTAATAATTATTGTGACCTCATAAGTTGTGTGCAGCAATTTAAGTTATTACAAATCTTACAAATAATATATGCATAAATTTAATGAATCATGTAGGCCTCATTAATGACAGCCAAGTTGTTATATTACATAAGACCTTCAAATGTGTATACCAAAAGCATTTTTAGTTTAATATAAAAATATCAACCAAGGCAACTTGAGTTGTTAAGTTATTGGTCACAAACCATCATTAAGTACAAGGTCAATATGACATTGACCCCTTGACCCCAAAATCAATAGGGGTCATCTACTGGCCATGACCAATCATCATACCAAGTTTGAAGTTCCTATGCCTATGCATTCTTTAGTGATTGATCGAAAAACCGTTTTTACCTACAAGGTCAATGTGAACTTGACCTTTGACCAATTGACCCAAAATCAACAGGGGTCAGCTACTGGTCATGACCAATCATCATACCAAGTTTGAAGTTTCTAGGCCTAAGCGTTCTTAAGTTATTGATTGGAAACTGTTTTCACCTACAAGGTCAATGTGACCCTGACATTTTGACCCCTAAATCAATAGGGGTCAACTGCTGGTCATGACCAATCATCATACCAAGTTTGAAGTTCCTAGGCCTAAGCGTTCTTCAGTTATTGATCGGGAACCGTTTTTACCTTAAATGTCAATGTGACCTTGACCTTTGACCCTTGACCCTAAAATCAATAGGGGTCATCTTCTGGTCATGTACAATCATCATATCAAGTTTGAAGTTCTAGACCTAAGCGTTCTTAAGTTATTGATCGGGAACCGTTTTTACCTACAAGGTCAATGTGACCTTGACCTTTGACCCCTTGACCCAAAAAGCAATAGGGGTTGTCTGCTGGTCATGACCAATCATCATACAAAGTTTGAAGTTCCTAGGCCTTAGCGTTCTTAAGTTATTGATCGGAAACCATTTTTACCTACAGGGTCAATGTGACCTTGACCTTTGACCCCTTGACCCCAAAATCAATAGCGGTCATCTGCTGGACATGAACAATCACCATACCAAGTTTGAATTGCTAGGCATAAGCGTTCTTAAGTTATTGATCGGAAACCATTTTTACCAACAAGGTCAATGTGACCTTGACCTTTGACCCCTTGACCCCAAAATCAATAGGGGTCATCTGCTGGTCATGACCAATCATCATACCAATTTTGAAGTTCCTAGGCCTAAGCGTTCTTTAGTTATTGATGGGAAACTGTTTTTACCTACAAGGCCAATGTGACCTTGTCCTTTGACCCCTTGACCCCAAAATCAATAGGGGTCATCTGCTGGTCATGACCAATCACCATACCAAGTTTGAAGTTCCTAGGCCTAAGCGTTCTTTAGTTATCACTCGGAAACCATTTGGTCTACGGACCGACGGACCGACAAGTGCAAAGCAATATACCCCCTCTTCTTTGAAGTGGGGGCATAATAAGACACATTGTAATAAGGTAAGCAACATCATTGACGTCAGATTGTCAGCAAGATAAAAGGTGTCAACTGCAAGGAAGTTTTAGGAGGAAAATTCGAGACAGCTCACGGTATAAATCAAAGGTGTCATGGGTTTACAGGATGATGATTTGTTTAAACAGGACTTGTGTGGATTTTTTTTACATCATTTGAAGAGAGAGAAAAGACAATCATTTTCACTACTGGTTGGAGAGATAACTCCGACACTAAATCAAATATTTTTTGCAATATTTTAATTATCTTCCAGTATATTTTAAATATTGAACCACCTAAACAAAGTTCAGTTCAAAGGCTTTACATTACACCACAAAAACTATGTATGAAAATGGAATCTGGTACTTCTTGAAGGTCTTGAATGAGGTATACAAAACATGGTCTTTTTACCCCACAACAGTAGATAAAGTCGACACTTAAATTTTTAAGTAAAAAATGACTGGAAAATCAGCATCAATAATTTATTTTTACATCTTATATGGTTTATCTATTTTTTGTAAATATTTAAACAATTTTTCAAAAATCTTTCCCAAGTCAGTGGCCTGTGGTCAATACATTTCTAACTACCTTACTGTAATTTAGTAAAAAGAACGTTTTGAAGCAGTTTTTGCCTACAAAAAGTTTAGGTTATTTGAAAAACATTAAAAAGTCTACCAAATTATAACAAATCATCACATTCTGTCCTGTTCCTATACTGTTAGGTGATCATGTGCATATTTGTTGAAAAACAAAGCTAAAACAATTATATTTATCAAGTGACGGGGTTATCTATGCGTCGGCGTTATCTCTCCGACCAGTATGCCTTTTTTGTTGATCTTGTCTATTTTTTTAATCTTTATTAAACGCCCCCCTTTTGAAAAATGTTACTCCCCCGGGGGCATTAAATTGGTATTTTACGGTATTTGAAGCTCATAAAAATTATGTTGTACTATGTAAAATTCTTAATATAATGATAATCATTGCCCAACTTATTAATCGTGCCAAACATGAAAAAGGGGAAATCATTCTCACAAAAGTGACAGTAACCAAATACTTTTCTTTCTATTTATGTCATATATAATGCCCAATAAAAAAGCAAAGTTTCAAAGAAATATCATTATTATTTTTCTAGAAATATGAGTTTTTATGTCATAAGCCCATGAATCGGACATTTTCACCAGCCAGTTTAAGTGGTTCCACTAGTACCATAATGTCCTCCCTTTGAGTAACCATTTAAAATGACTTTGGACGGGCGATGTCTTTCCCCAACGGTTTGACAGTACCATAAAAAATGTCAAAAACTTGACCAATATAGTCTTGCTGAAATCTTGGGTCGAAATAAAAATGGTGCGAAAAGACGCCGGTACGAATACATTTTGTAAGTTAAGTACCGTATTCAAGCTAACATTTATTAATTTAAATTTGAATCGCAATCATTTTTCATACCTGCAATGTAATACAAAAAAATGGTGTTGAAATTACAACATCAAATCTTTCCTTGTTCTTGGATCGGTAATGTAACGATTCGCCACACTAACGATTCGCCACATAACGATTCGACACAGAGTAATAACGATTCGCCACAGTTAAATAACGATTCGCCACGTGTTCAAATACAAATTTTTTTCACATCTGTTTTCAAACTGTTGATGGAAAACTTTTTTCCATTTTATATTTCATTTGTTAATTACATAAATTAATTACACTTAATACACATTTTATTGAATAAAAACACACGAAAACCAAATATTTTATTAACAAAATTACATAACCCATTTTATAACTTCGTTATTTATATAAACTGGAAAAATATACGTGTACGTATATTTAGTTTGTCTTGTAATTTGTCTTTGAATTTCTGAATATATTTAAGTGCCATTATGTTTGTAATGTTTTGTACACGGACAATCTTTAAATATGACATTTTTTAAATGGATAAGTCATGCCTTCTACTACCTTTAAGGTCTTTTCTAGTAGATGTTTTCATTGCCTACTTAAGTTATAGCCATACCTACAATTAGAAGAACTTCTTACGAATACAAACAGAACGTGTAAAGCGCATTACAACATAAATATTATTATTGCGAACTTTTGGAAGGAATTTGAATTTGACCATCTTTTGAATTTCATGAAAAAAAAAAATCTTGAAAGATTTTTCCAGCATTCTAAAGGATTTGAAAGTTAACTAATCCCGTTTGCGTCTACAGCTTTCTTTTTCTAGACATTGAATCAATTTGAAGGTATTAAATTGTAATGGCTAAAGTTATAAAAATAGATAAAAAAATGTCTACAAATTTAATGTGGGTATTTTATCTTTATTTATTTATATATTATTGTTTTAATGTCATTTAATAGTGTACTGGAAATAAAATTTCAAATGTCATAGATGCATATGGTCTACGAAATAAAATGTGGTCTCAAAGACTACTAAACAATGGATAATTAGCAGAGAAACATTTTTGGCAAGCCTTTCTGTTTTTATGTGACATAAATCAAATTCAACTTAAAAGATGATTTTCTGATTTCGTTATTTTTCGTTTTGTATACTATTTTATGTATGTGTTTAAGCTATTTAAACCCCTCTTAATCGGCATATATATCGGCTCGCTCAAATTAATTTGTAAACAAAACATAAGCTTAAGTGCCGCATTGTTTTGAAATCTGAATACATTGTCAGATAAATTAAAGGATTTATTTTCGGCGTCAATTAAATATTTTCTACAACAATCCTAATTGATTGGCTTGTGTTTAAATTAAAAGGTGTGACAAATGTTTTACATATGCGTTTCTTTAATCAAATTATTGTAAATCAATGAATACATGTTTTTTGCAATACTTTGTTTTAAATATTTGACATTATATTATAATATATATGAACTATATATTTATATATAAATATTAATTGACATATAATTATGTTATGAGTAATTTAATAATTATTTCAACATATAATTACTTCTTGATTTAATGTACTCCTGTAATAATGCTACCTTTGATAAATTGAAAATCCGCGATGGGGGCCTTAATTACTTGTATTAAGGAAACATTATTAAATTATTTGTCATTGTCAAATTTATTAAACAAAAGGGAAAAGTTTGTTGATTACTAAAAAATCATCGTTATAATCATACTGTGGCGAATCGTTATTTAACTGTGGCGAATCGTTATTACTCTGTGGCGAATCGTTATTACTCTGTGGCGAATCGTTATGTGGCGAATCGTTAGTGTGGCGAATCGTTACTAATTCCTAGGATCAATATATAAACAATAAAGTTTATTGGCGACGCCGGTGAGCGGCGTCGTCTTATATGGAATGCTTTTTATTTTTGCCTATGGAAGGAGCTGTTATTATTAGCAGTTAATTTCATGTTGAGTTAATTAGATTTATTTTGATTCGTAAAAATCAAGTAAACAAATATGTTGTTAATATTTGTATTTAATAACTTTATATAAAAAGCATGTGCAATTGTGATATTATTTTCACGAAATTGCAGGCTCAGTTTAACAGCTTGTCCCTTAGTTTTATATGACAATACTAAAACCCGGATTTCGAATATCGTTGTGGTCTACATCGATGCCGTAACCATTTTCGTTCATTCATTTATATATTTTCAAAATTTTCTTACAAGAAGAAAGTTCACCTGCAAAATGAGTATAAGGATAGGTAATGGACTGTTGTTTACGATTATCCTATTGATTTTATCCATATTACGTTGATCTGTTGCACAGAATGGTTGTTTTTTACAAAGTGTACCAGTATCCGGATGTTGAAAGCTATCCGATTTTCTGCAATAACTGCTGTCACATGGTCATCTATTTTTTATGAATACTTCACCATTAATTTGCAATGGCTTAATAAAACTGACTGAGCCTGCAACATTTCGTAATTTTAATGTTTAGGGTGTTCTCTTGGGTTTCAGGTTTTCAGTCTTTTAAGGGGAAGTAACTCATGTTTACTAAATTATTTGTTCTTTTCTGTCTACTTTATCTTTAGTATTACTTACTATTTTTTGTTTTTTATAAAATTTACCAGTTGTAAGGTCATCAAAAGCAGAGAGGCCCTGATGAGTGAATATTGATATTTATTATATACTTATAAATGAAATATTGAGAAATATTGATGAAATAAAATGCGTATTTTATTTTCCGTATTATCACTGTAAAAATTTATTTTTCACTGTAGTGAAACATATTTTCCGTATTTTCACTGGTGTCTTGCCGGACTACTTTCTTTTAAATTCTGCCAGTACACAAAATTTAAGGGAAAGTCTTTCAAATTTTATCGCAAAAAAGAGCAAAATATATATAATAAACAGAAAATTCAAGTTGTTTCTATAAATACATGATTTATTTTCATCTTGTGGCATGAAAATTACCATATTTCACTCGTGGCTACCGCCACTCATGAAATATTTATTTTCATACCACTCGATGAAAATAAATCATGTATTTATAGAAAAAACTTGAATATCCTCTATATATTTTTACTGGCTTGATATACCCTAGACCAGATTTTTCTAGTTTGTTCAGTTGGTACATACCTATAGGTATTCTGCTAGAGGCATTTTCTAATCACTATGTGAAATTATTATTTTCTATGTGTTTGTATATGAATTGTTACTAAAATAACCTTTGGTAAAAATGAAAAGTAGAATATTTAAGCTATACATATAGGTGCTCATTTTAAACACTTGATTACATTATATGCAGTTAGTTATACATTGTATAGTAAAGTCTAATGGAAGGTTAAAAGAGGGACAGTATTTGTTACTGTAAGAGATATGCATTTAATGTTTAGACACTAACACAACTTAATCTGTAACACATGATATAGACTATTTGAGATTTTTTTTTACTTTTATACTATACAATATCATGTATACATTATAGTTTTCTTTCTACAAGATTATGAATTCCTGTCAATAGGATGTTATATTTATTTTTAATGGAACCTGAGAATTATTAATGTAATGTGCATACAAGTGTATCATTGTATATGGATATAATGTGTATTTCTATATTTAAAGACTTACAGTTATGATGGATGAGACTTGCATTTAAATTAATTAATGATAATACATATATTGATCAGGCTACAGGTTATAGTTGTTTATACCCAGTGTTAGCTGGCTAATAATAGTATCTATAACAGAGTTTATATATTCTACTAGATTTTGAATTCCATCCATTAGTACCAATGTTAATGTTAGGATTTCATATTTATTTAATAGAAACTGGGAATTATTAATGTTATGTGCATACATGTATATCTTAGTATATTGATATGATGAGACTTATAATATTTCTGAATTTAAAGAGTTACAGTTATGTCATTATTATTAAAGGGATGATACTTTCATTTAAAGTTATAAATGATAATACATGTATTGATTGAAAATGTCCTGAAACTTGGATCAAGTAATATAATTGATAAAGTCTCAAAAAAATCATGTTTTGAATGGTTATTCTAATTTTTTTCTAACATGTGCATAGATTGAAAAGGACAGCTTCTGTCTTATCTTTTTGTAATTGAGGGACACCGGTCTCAATTTCCAAGCTTCAGGTCTCCTGAGTCAACCCGACAACAGACTTTTCATAGAGTAGATTGTTACTTGCCCTTGAATAAATTTGTACACTTAATTTTATAGCAGGTGATTTTTGCCACATGAAAACCAACAAAGTACAAAAAAGTAACAAGGCGCCAGACACAAAGTGGTGTGTTTGTTGCATTTTCATGTATTCGCCCAGTGCCCTTGATGCAAAATACAAAACAGCCTTCATAAAATTTCACAAAAATCATAGAAAAAGGGTTAGTTTTTTATCCGTACAAAAAATAGATATTGTACATGACTGTATTAGCACAGTTATGTTCACTTTCAAATTGACCTGTTATAAATAATGGCACAACCAATAGTTTACTGTCTAAGCCCTTTTTAGTAAAAATAATTATACATAATATATAAATTGTTATTTTAATTTAGACTATGAGTATGTAAGGTTTTTATTTCTTATTTTTTAATTGAGAATTAATTATCTGTTGATTTAAAATCTAAATATCTGTCACGGTTTAGAACTGTTCACTATTTAGGCCAGAAAATGTGTAAGCGTCCAGATAGTTCAATCGCTTACAGCCGCGGTACATTATTCTGTGGTCACAGGTTTGAGTTCTGGTCAAGCTGAAAAATTTCTCATCCAGTGACTGCATATAACCATGAGTTTAATTCACTATGCTCTGTAAACATCAGAAATTCAAGGACATAAACTAATAGAGTGGGGAAATATGTTGTGGTTTAGAACTATTTCATTATTAAAGAGAAAATGTGTAGCCGGCCGGATAGCTCAGTTGGTCTTCTGAAAGTCATGGGTTCGAGTCATGGTCAGGCAGTTTAAGTCAGGGTTTAGAAGTGGTTTTTCTCATTTAATAGATTGTACTTTATTTGAAATGGACAAAGGCAGTATTGCATGATACTTTTAGATCTACAAAGCATTTGATACAGTTGATCACACTATACTGCACATGAAGAAGTTATTTTTCTTCTTCTTCATGGAACTTGAAGTATCTGCCATATGTAATGACATTCTTACATGCTTCAAGTCTTATCTCTGATAGCAGCTGGTTGATGTGGCTGGTTCTCCTTCTACTACTGCTCTGAGTACCTATGGTGTCCCCCTGATGTTCATTTTAGGTCCTCTTTTATGTCTAATATATGTCAATGACATGTCTGCAACCTAAGCAATAAGCTTTTATTATATGCACAGGCACAAGTATCAGACATGGGAAGAAAAATATGACAAGATTGATAAAAAAACTTGTGTTCATCTTAAAATTGTCACAAACCAAAAAAATGTAAATAATGACCCCCTTTGAAAATATACTTTAAGTTAATAGTATATTTTTAAAGGGGGTCATTATTTACATTTTTTTTTTTTGGTTTTTGACACTTTTAAGATGAACACAGTTTTTTTATCAATCTGGTCATACTTTTTCTTCCCAGGTCCGATACTCGTGCCTGTGATTATATGATGATGACAGGTATCCTTGTATTTGGTAAAATAAATAGTAAGATTAGTTAATTGACTATAAATTGTCTTTGCATCTTGGCAAGACAGAGTCTTTTCTTTTTGGTTTAAGTTTCAACTTAAACTGGGCCTATCCTCCAGGTCACATGAAATGGTACTTCTATAAAGTACACATCTTTTGTTAAGTATTTAGGTGCAAACCTGGATCAAATTCATTTGGCGTCGCCCTTTGATGCTTTGCATCAATGCTTTTCTTGTTTATGTTCTTGAAAAATCTTCGTTTTGAAGTTACCCACTATTTTTTATTTTTAGTTTCGTATTTTCTATAATTCAAATAAAAGAGATATAAGGTGATTTTTCTTGTAAATTTAATTTTAAAAAATGTTTTTGAATCAATTTTACAGTAATATTTCGGATATGTGTTTGTAAGGACACTATTTTTTTTTCATTTTGAATTCGTTACTAATAAAGTGCCAACGCTACAGTAATTACGGTTTAATGATAAGTCGGTCCATCTTCCGTTAATGTCAAACCCCTTGCGAGAACGTAGATCGACATGTCTGTGCGTCAAAAATCGCAAAAAAGTTAAAAAGAGTTGTTTAAAAGAGAGGATATTTTAACATTTAAAAATGTTATTTAACAGGGGCTGGAACACTAGGGTGAGTCATGTTCGATGCAAGCTATGGCTGGACTGAACTGCTCTGGGGTAGGGAGTAGGGCAACTGCATGGTTCCAGTGGTATACCGTCCTAGGAAAGAACGAGAATTTATAATTGTCTGAAGTTGCTGTGAATAACCTATAACATAAGGCATGGCCATGGCGTGAGATTCGCAACAATTACCTTTCCTTTTTTGTAAATTTAGAAAGAAAGAGTGATCTAACAAAGAAAGTCATAAATTATATCATAATTTGTGAAATTAATCTGCTTACATGAGATTTATGATATGCCACTATAGAAACAAATTAAGTTTTGTAATAGAATTAAGAATAAATTAATGAAGCTTTCACTGCCAATAGCATATTCCTTAAAATGGCGGAGCAAATTTGTAACCATGATAACCGCCGTATGAACACATCTGCGGATGTTTCTAAATTCAAAATTTTACTATTTCGCGTTTAAATGTTGAATTCTGCTTAAGCCGGTGCTAGGGGGCGTGGACGGTAACTTGCACTTTCCAGTACCGTCCATGTACAGGCTCAATCAAACCGAGCCTGCAACATTTATAATTTTGCCGTGTTGGGCTTTCTTTAGGGATTCTGTATTTATCTATTTTATGATCACATCCGTGTTATTTGTGCCGTGTGGCGGCTGTAAAAAGTCTCCCCGTACATTTAATCAATGATGTTATATTTTCGATCCTTGAAGATCGTTCAGCACGACATTATTGTTGTGCTTGTGGTATTTTTAGGTTCAACTGTTCGGCATTTTCTAATTGGGTGGTTCCAATATTCGTACTACAATAATGTTGAATCACCCTTAGGATATGTTGCCTGCTTTTTAAATTTGTCTTTTGACGTCTTATCTGTGATATGCAGGCTTCATAACCTCTGATCCCCTTTCAAAATTCCATTTTATTTAGTTCCGCCCATTGTTTTCTCGTTTAGGGCACACGCTTTTTATTACTTGGGGACCATACGCCGCTTTTCATGGAATGGCACGGAAGTGTCACATTGAAGGTTCCATGATAACCGCCGTATGAACACATCTGCGGATGTTTCTAAATTCAAAATTTTACTATTTCGCGTTTAAATGTTGAATTCTGCTTAAGCCGGTGCTAGGGGGCGTGGACGGTAACTTGCACTTTCCAGTACCGTCCATGTACAGGCTCAATCAAACCGAGCCTGCAACATTTATAATTTTGCCGTGTTGGGCTTTCTTTAGGGATTCTGTATTTATCTATTGTAGCTATTTTTAAGCCAATTTTATATTGCATGTTATATAAAGCATCTGAAAAAAATCGTTTTTCTTATTCTTCAGGAAAAGCTTGGACTTTAAATACCATTTTGCAGTCCCAAATTAAAAGAAATAATGATAACTTGACCAAAACACCACCTCAAACTGTCCGTATGATTATGTATTTCAATATATTTATCATCAGAGATTCAGAGATATTCTTTAACAATTTGTTACAGGCGTACAGACGTGTGCATACATGTACATTGTATTCATAAATTATATAATAAAACAGACATATGTACTTGTAAGTTAGTGAATAATGATGTGTTCAAAAGATATTGATATTCACATCATATTGACCAGCTAAAATGTCAAAATTTGTTTACTATTTATCCCTGTCCTGTTTACGAATTTTACGAAAGTGTCAAATTAGAGGCTTAATGCACCCTTTTTGCGCATTAACATCTGCAGAATCGCGAGGACGAATGTAAAGACCGAGTACGCAGCCATTGGGTTTAATAAATGCGTGACCTTCTGCAGATTTTAATGCACGAAAATTATTCTTTCTAACCCGGTAATTCCGCGTCCGTATGAAGAAACCATTGCTTGTGCCATGCTTTCCACTTGTAAGAACGTGTCATTTGACAATACAACTGCTGGGACCTTCATTTCATTAACCTGAGTAACACAAAAACGTGCAACAACAGCGCGCGGACACGAGAATCTGTACGTTAATGCATGTTTTTCTATAACAACGTTCGCAGTTTTTGTGAAAGAATGAATGTTTGTGCATCGTTTTCACAACTTTTTTTTTTGGTATTACGTAAGACTTAAATTAACATGTGTATAGCTTTTACCAAACTCCTTTGGCCCTATCTTAGGGGAAAAACGGTGAATATATTCTGAAAATTTACATTTATTTTCAGACAAAATGGTGAACATACTTTCATATTGACTTGTTAGTTTTTTACAAAAATTAACTTCTTAGCCAATTTACATAGTTACATTATAAATATATAACATCAGATATTTTTCAACAATTAAAATTATGAATTCGGAGCTCTTTTTCAAGCAAAAACAAGAACAAAAACAAGAAAAATAACAAAACAAGAAGAGTCTTTCAAAAAAAGATACTCGGCTAACTTGCATATGCTAATTCTTTACGTTTCATTTACCAAAAATTGCAAAGCATTCAGAATGTATATGAAACATGCCCATTCGGAACTGCCTCGGCTATTATGTATAATAACCTCGGAAACAATACGGATTGAAAGTAGTTCTACCACGTGGTTTACAGATGTAAACAGAAACAGAGATAATGTAAAACGAATGTATATATTTGACATCTAATGTCTTTTCCGGTACTCTGATGCTTGAAAATATGTCGAACAACACTTTGTAAACGGCCCAATGATGTTCAATTTTAAACAAATCCGACTAAATGTCTACAGGTTGGTTTTTTGAACTTCCGGTTTCTATATAGCCATATTGATAAATATATAAATAATGTATTGTTTGCTTTTGTACCTATGAATTCACTTATTTTAGGTGGATTTTTACTACAGATATTGGAAATAAACTTGTCAACAACTCCAAGCATTAAAATACTATTTGTTTACATGTTTAGTTTCTTAGCGTAGGTTAAACCGGAATACCGCACCCGTTGATGTGTATTCATACTATCGTGTTCGAGGTCCTTATCCAAAGAATGACGGAAAGGGCCGAGTAGTTGCGATTGGGAACATGCCATTTAGTTTTATATACAGCGCAATTTTGATATCAGGAAGTTTTACTTTTAGTTTAGAGGTAACCACAGTTACTAGCAACAGACGACAGAAAACCGTATAATTGTGATCATTTAACAAAAGAAGCCATGCTTAGAAAAAAAGGCAAATAATTATGTATTATTATTCATCACACATAGTATCTGACCTATAAATGCCATTTTGAATGTTTAAAATATTTCTTCGTTTTCTGTAAATACATAATATTCATATCAAAATAAAAAAGTAAACCATTAAATTGGCATTGGGGGAAGGTCTCACTAAAAAACGTCCCGAAGAAATTTAGCGTCCCGAGGGATTATTTTAAATTTAGACAATCATTAGATCACCATGATTACATCATCTTAATCATCATATTATCATTAAATCATGATCATACACTTTTTAGTGAAACCGAAATGGGGCGAATCATTATGGCGCGAATCGTAATCAATTCATTGATGTGATCCGTGTGTCCCATGTACCGTTTTGCCTTATCACGTGGTTTCTATATCGTCATATCCGGGTATTTGGGCGTTCATCGCCATTTGCATTGCTTCAAAACAGCCTAAGTTTGCGGTCAATTTGATCGCATAGAGCGCTAACAAGCTCTCAAAGAGTTTTCAGGGGTTGTCAAAACCCCTTTCTGTATTATTTACAAACCATCAATATTTCATATTGCATAGAATTTCTAGTATAGAAATTTGATTTTCCTCGGTTAGTTTCAAACATGGAGCAGTAAAAATGATGCCAAAAAGCAATCTGGGTAATTCTTGTGTGGCCGTGTGGTCCAAAACAGCACTATTTTATCTGGTAGTTGATGTCAGAAGAAGAGAAAGCAAAGATGGACAAGAAAGGAAACTCCCGTCAAACATTTTCTGTACAGAAATCTAATGGCAGCGATTCTAGAAAAGGTGTGCTCATAATTTAAGTCGGCAATCGCCTGGATGAAACTGTGTTTTATTCACTTTTGGGGGTAGGGGGTCGGTGCCCTTTGGAGGGAAAAATGCAATAGGAGGGGGAATTTTGTTTGTTTTCTTTGCGGTAGAAAGGGGGAGCAACTCTTGCAAAACTTTTACACAAGTTTAAAAAATATCGCATTTTCTTATATGGATTTAAAATATTGATGCATCGTATGTTAAACTTGTTGAGACGCCGGGAGTAGCTCCCCTAACCTGCCAGAGAATGATTTGTAAACAACCTTGCTTAACAGTAACTTTTACAGGCATAATATTAAACATTTTTCAGCAGTTAGTTGCAAAAAAAATGTTATTCACTGCAAGCAAATTTGGGCTGCCATATAGGGGGAAAACTCATACTATTTTGAGGGGGAATGGGGCCGAATTTCGTCAATTATTTTGGTGAAAAAAAAATACACTGAGACCCCTATATATATTTTGTGATTTTCTTACTTATGTAGAAATCTACATATATAATTGACTCAGAGAGGGTGTCCGTGGCCGAGTGGTTAAGGTCGTTGACTTCAAACCACTTGCCCCTCACCACTGTGGGTTCGAATCCCTACAGGAACTTTGGATTCTTTCATGTGAGGAAGCTATCCAGCTAGCTTACGGAACGTCGGTGGTTCTACTCAGGTGCCCGCTCGTGCCTGAAATAATGCACGGAAGGGCACCTGAGGTCTTCCTCCACCAGTAAAGCTGGAACGTCGCGATATGACCTATACTGTGTCGATGTGACGTAAAAACCAAAACAAACAGACTCAGAGAAAAGGCCTCTTCCCAATTGAAATTTTCTTTAAATTCATGCAGTTTTCCCAAAAATCTGAACTTAAACCAGCTTTTTTACTTCCCATATAAGCAATTTTTGCAATAATTTTCCCTAAACCAGACGAAGGCCTCTTCCAATTAAGTGAGAAAAATCACTGAGTCTTAGCCATTAAGTTCCTCTCCTGTAAACAATTACTTGTGCTATTTTATTTTAAAACATGCAACAAGATAAAAAAAACCTATGAACAGGACAATGAATATGCTACAATCAGTATGGCCTCTTTCCATACGGTACCAAAACAAAATTATTTCTGCTTTTCTGTAGTTGATTTATGACTTGTAAAGCAATATTGCTCATGAACGGATGAGGGACAAAACCCCATAAGTCAAAACCCAACTCTAAGAAACTAAAGGTGTGGGGTTTGCTATAAAATTTGTGTCTGGTGTTTCAATTTATAAAATTTCCACCAAACACTGACTTATGTTTTCATTAGTGTATAATCTAAACATTTTTGTAGTAAATAACTAAATATAATGTGGTTCCTTTTAATAATTAATTTCCAGAAAATATAGCAAATTCATCTGTTTGGCATTATTTACTGACATAATACCTGCAGGTGTTTGTGGGATTTTACTAGCCTTTTAGGTTACTGGCTGCTATATTTTGCTAATTTTCTTATGGTTGTCGGGCCACTATTGTATTATCGATTTTGTTCACTGGTCATTGGCAATAAATGTCTGCATGTCAGGAATATGCAGGATTGTGTGTGGCTGGGCATCCTGGTCAATATCTTATTTTTGTAATAAATTTCAGATGTTGCAACAAGAAATCAACGTTCTGGTAAAAGACGCGGAAATTATAATGGAGGTGGTGGCAATTACTCGTACAGTGATGGACAGGGTAGAAAACCTACTCCACAGAAATTCAAAAATACATGGGATAAACGCCCAAGACAGCGCGGGGAGTATTCCAGTGGAAATGGGGGTGACGTAAGTCAAAGATACTAAATATAGATATATATTTTCTTCATCTTGATCAGTAGAGCATTACATTTTATATCAATATAGAGATTTTATCACTTTTTATTGACCATGTACCAGTATTTAATTCTCAGATGCTTTAAATTGAATCATAAGAAGCCCGTATTAAAGTACTTGTATTTTAAGGAAAAGGGTGTAAATAAAAGAAATAGAAGAACTGCTTTGAAATTGTCTACATAATGTAATAAAATTATTATTAAAATTTATCAATGTTATAAACAGCTTTAATCTGAGATAAATAAGTTTTTGCTGCATATACATACAAGAGAAACAATGCTCGTTTTGCCCCTCATATATTGCTCTTTGTTAATAATTACATTTATTATATGATCTAAATATAGCTGCAATCTCATTGGTCCAAACAGTAGTCAACAAAACTTTTTATAAAATCATATTTACTGGGTGTAGTATCATATTCACTGGCTTAATTGGATTTTCCCAGTCTAAAATTAGATTGAGACTCATATTCAATGATCATACACCGTAGACTGTTAATTAGGCGTGTTAATTAAAAAATAATTGTTGCTTTTTGTTCTTTATGGCATATTTCTCGATTAAAATATCAATACTTTACTATTATACTTAAAGGTTACATCACAATGATGAGTATAAACTTGAATTATTTTTGTATGCGCAGCGTTTGCGTAGTCGTTGCACGCCTAACACGTGCGTCTTTTTTCCCGCGCTTCAACGAGGCAAAATTTGTACATGTATAATTATAAGTTTGTACTTTTGTGATTTTTTTTAATTTCTTAGCCTATTCATATAATAAAACAGTTATTGACTAGTGAACCATTGAATATGATGTGATATTCACCGGCAGAAAGTCATATTGACCTCGGCTATCGCCTCGGTCAATATGTCATCTGCCGGTGAATATCACATCATATTCAATGGCTCACTAGTCAATAATTGTATAATATTGAATTTGGCAAAAAAAGCATATTTCAATAGTGTATTGTTGAAGGTCTTTACTTTTGACAGAGATGCTAAGTAGAGGTGTCATTGATAAGGATTTTTGTATCGATATATCGGTAATGAATTATCGGCGATACAGCGATATATCGATTGCCAGGCTAAATTTTAGCTTTCAAGTCTTTTAAAAGTTTCCTAAGGACACTCATGAAGCAGTTATATTAAGACAAATGCAAAAAAGATAAACTATGAAAACTGAACAATTTGTTTCTTTTTTATCATATAGCTATAAATGAAAACTAATGACTAGTAACTATGAAGTTTAAAGCCTTTTCCATTTTACTTTAGTTGTTGTTGTTGCTATTACGTAGTTACTGATCATGCTAAATCCCATTCTTGCCGTTTCAATTAAGACGGGTTTAATTGGCAAATTATAGTGCTTAGAACCTGAATAATTATTAACGTTTAACATTTTGTAATCATAATTTTTACAAAGAAACACTGACAAATTTGTCTTTGCATTTTCCGTATTGAGGGGTCTTGACATCCACTTAGCAGACGTGCGTGATTACAACGAAATTAGTAGTATTCGTTAGAGACACTGGGAGGTAACTTTGGCATTGATTTCCGTTTTCATTATAGAAAGAAAAAAATGTTTCTGGATATGCCGCTTTTATTATGACGTTTTGCGACAGTAAACATGTCTATCTGTACTATAAAACCTGTTCGCTGAAGTCTCTTCAGCTAGAAATATATGTGCATTCGATATCCGATATTAAAAAAATGGAATCGATATCGAATCGGATAACAAAGATCGTTGATACACCGATATCGATTGAATCGATGACACCCCTAATGCTAAGGCAGGTGAAATAAAAAAGAAAAAGAATCCCTTCATATCTTGTTCCAGTAAGGAACTTTGTTTATCAGTTACTATGCAAAACAAATATTTGGTTACAAAGGGAAGTAATTCAGTTTATACAATGTTAAAGCATTATAGATTAGTCTCCCAGTAATAATTTAAGAATGGCTGTGACTAAAAAAAGGATTGGAGCACCACACTAAATACCGTATTCCGGTATATACCGGACAAGGCGCTTGAATGATAAAATGCTAAAATCTTGTCTTTTTACCAAACGGAATGAACTTTAACAGGTCTAATTCATCTTTTCACACCGAATCAAGTACGATAATCAAGGAAAAATGTAAAATTCAGCGAAAAAAACGATATTTGTCTATTTTGTGATCATGATTTCTGCAAGCGTCTAGAGGCCCTGCTCCAATCCTGTATTGAGCTAAATCCTTTAAGAATTGCACAATACACCTGTAATTTAAAGGTTATTATAATGCTATTAGATCTGAACTCCTTGATTTTGTTGGCACATTTGGACATGGTTTGGTTGAGGGAAATTAGTGTTAGAAGTTTTGATAGGGATTTGTTGTGGTTGAATAGGGTCAGGATTGAAAAAAAGAAAGTTAAAACATTCAAAAGAAAAAAAGTGAAAAGTATTAGAAATACAAGAATCATAGTTTGGTTTAGAACTAAGAAAAGGAAAAGATTGTGTCTTGTTGAGGTGGAGTTTCACTGGAATTACCTGATTTATTGATGACTTCCCTCCTAAGTCATCTTAGGAAATTAAAATGCAGTAACATCGAAGATATAGACTTCTATCTCAACTGTGAGGAATGGGTAAGATTACAAATTGTGTATGGGAGCATCCATAGTGAACTGCTTTTGTTTACTATTTATTTACTGATTTTTAGGGGCATTATGATAATCGTTAGCAGTGCAATTTTGGGAATTTAAAAAATCAGTCAGAAACTGGGGAATATGCTGTCTGTTTTTCATTGGAAATTGTGCTGTTTTTTGGAAATCTGTTGTATAAGGGGAATAAAATGCTGTTTTTAAGATATTAATATATTTTCTGGCTTTCTAGTACACTGGTCAAGTGATTTGTCATATTAACAGATTGCTGCTGCCTTCTACATATCTAGATGGTACTTATGCTTAAATGAGAAAGATTTTTTCTTAGCCCTATTCTTTTGATGCAAAATTCTGTTGGTGAGATAATGTGTTGAAACATCACTGTCAAGTTTTGTTTAAAGATTAAACAAAAAAATTTAATTTGAGGCAAGCATACTATACATAAATACATAATATACATTGAATTATAAATGTCCTGAAAATTAAAGAGTCTTCACCTATATAATGATAGACTACTTATATTGAGGCTAATTCAGCTGGGCTAATTAACTTACTTATTTGTTTTCACCTATTGTTATACTAATTAGCAATTAATAATGTTGAAAACAATACTTTAACTGTATTGCAGCTAGAAGATGAGGACCTGGGAGTCGAATTCGGCTCTGCGATCCAGGCAGGATCAAAGAAAGGCAACCTCAATCATCTGCTCAATTTTACCTACGAGCATGAGAGTAACCAGAGTGGCTATCGGGGGGCAGCAAATAGTAACAGAGCTTACTATAGCAGGGGAAGACCTATACAATACAGAAATACTTACTCCAGATACAGTAAAAATTGTTATAACAAGGAGCAGTTTTTGCAAGCAAAGTGAGTAATTATAAATACTTATGTTTCAGCTTAAAACTTACAGATTTAGAAACTTAGACTAGCTAGATTTTCAAGCTGTGTTCTGCTTTACCTGTCTTTGGACATTTAATGTGCATTTTGAAGAATTCTGGTTTTGTTGTAACAATTGGTATGTAGCATAGTCTTAACTGAAATTATATATAGCTAATGAAAATTAATTTTTGTGTAAAAAAGTTGAAGTTACTTTCTACAAAGCTTTAAACATTGTTTTCAGCTGCCAGTTTGTAGTGAAAAATTCTGGTGACTATTCTAAACATTTGATTGACCCCGATGTACTTGTTGACTGGGATAAAGTTGAACAAGTGGTTAGTAATTAACTTATTTTCATCTATTTTCTGTATTGAAAGTAAGAATTGTCTTGTAAGCTGTAAATATATATTGTTATATATTAATGAGATATGAAATATTCTTTGCATGAAAAAAGTGGGGCATTGGTGGCTGAGTGGTTAAGGTTGCTCAAAACACTTGCCTCTCACCACTGTAGGTTAAGCTGTGCCAATGTCACCGGATTTTTCATGCGAGAAAGCTATCCAGCTAGCTTACGGTGGTTCTACTCTGGTGCCTGTTTGTGCCTGAAATAATATATAGGGGCACATTTGGTCTTCTCAACCAGTAATATCTGCAGTCACCATATGACCGTGATGTGTTAAAGTAATAATGTTATGTAAAATCTTTTTGACTATATGAAATAACGTTTAAAGGAAATATGTTTAACAATTTCTTTTATGTACTTTTTTACAGCGTGTGATTGGGACAGAGCCAGCATCATGTCCAATTTGTCTACAATATCCGATAGCTGCCAAGATGACCAGATGTGGTCACATATTCTGCTGGCCGTGTATTTTACACTACCTTGCTTTAGGGGAGAAATCCTGGAGAAAATGTCCTATTTGCTATGAATCTGTGCACAACGATGATCTCAAAAGGTAAAATTTCATCCGTACACGGCTAAATATCTTAAATAGACTTGCCCATTTTTCAATCTGGACAAAACCATTTGTCATTTTAAGGGAAAAAGGCAAAAAAAAAGTGATTGAAAAGTGAATACTCAATAGTGCCATGATCATGATGGCATAGATGTGTTTATCTTGGACTGCACTGATCACATAGGTAGAATCAGTTGCTGCCAACATGTTAAGGGTTAGAGACTCTTTAACTAAGGTTTATGATTTAAAAAAAAAAGATTTGCTTGGCATTAGATATGTTGTCATGTAAAAAGCTTATGCCTTAATTTGATAGGAATATTACAAATTCTGTAAACCTTACAATCACACATATATTGATATCAGTCTTAATGATTTTATGAACGTATGTTTTCAGTGTTGTATGTCGTGAAGTACAGAATTATAAAGTTGGAGATACTATTACTTTAACATTGATGAAGAAAGAGAAAGGCAGTATTTATGCAGTACCCGCTAATCTATGGCAGAAACAACCTGGAAAATGTCATAACGTAAATGGTGAGCGAGATTTGATCTCTTATTGACAATTGTGCATTTGATTTACGCTGATGTGAGATATATTCAAATGATTGACAGGGCATGTTGCTACATGATATAGTTGAAAAATTTTGATCTTTGATGAAACTCAGAAAATTTGCCTTTGATTATATGTCTATTTCAATATGATCTTGTGAAAATATTAATTCTATCTTTAACAATTAATTTTTTTGTTTGTCTGTCTACATATACTCAATTGGGAAATGTTTTTAGTCACAAATGACAAATTGGGAATTTGGAGGAAACCATTTTACAGCGATTATTAACTTGCATTAAGCAAATGTTAAATGAACCTCAAATAATATCACACCCGCTCTTTGCTTTTACAACAATTATAAGATGCTTGAAAAGTTCAGTTTTTAAGAATAGGGAATTTTTGATACCATTTAATAATTTTTATTAATATTAAAATTTGTTTTGTTCTGATTTGAAATCCCTTTCTGAAATAAAGCAAGAAACACAATCAATAATAAGTCATTCATAGGTATTCAATTTTAGGAAATAAATATGTATGAAATACTATTTTGATTCTAAATTCAGAGAATGAAGATGTAACTCAGCATGTGAAGCTTCTTACTGCTACACCAGAACAAGTGTTACAAGTTACCGAGATGGAAAAACAACAGTTACATATGCTGCTAACTGATGCTGAGGTATTTATTGTTCACAACTGATCTAGTAGATTTTATTGTAAAACAATAGACCTTCTTTGCCGATATAGAACTGTTTAATAATGTAATAAAGATAGGTTTTGAAAATCATGTAGTAATGATTGTGTTGTTAAATTTCCCTCTCTTATGTTGGCTTGTAATGTTCCAATATGACTGTAACCATGTTTATGTCACTTTAAACCCAACCAAAACTTTAAATTAAAATATCCTGTAAATTTATGTTCAGTGTTATGTCTATAGGCCTTAGAAAATGTTTGAATCAAAGTTATTCATTATCGCTATTTACACTGTGAATGAATTTAGTATATTGATGGAAACATTGTTTTATTGCAGTCATCCGAGGAACCATTTATCAAGGGGGCACAAGATCAAGTAAAGGTAATTCATTAGAACGCCTTAATATTTTACCATCAGTAAAGGTTTAAATGAATTTAAATGTTAGCCATTTAACCCATTACGTTATATACATGCCTTTTAACGCCTTTTTCACCCCCCCCCCCCCTTTTTGTTGTCTCAAATGGTGAAAAAATGCCTTATTTAGGCCCCAAACAGTTGTTTTTGTTTGAGAAATGTTGTTAAAAAAATGACCTCTTTTTCGGCGCGGCCCCCCAACCAAAAGATACATCAGGGGGTTGCCAGAAGGGGGATGTGCCCCCTTCTGTTTGGGGGGTTTGAAGGGGGGCGGAGTCCCCCTCATCGCCAAGAAAATTTTGGGCTTGTGAGAGGCTATAAATGACCCCAGATTGATCATAAGGTAACGTGTAACCAACGCTGAAAAGCATTTGACTTTATCTCAATCCATAGAGAAGTTGCAGCACTTTGAAATCAATTTTGATGGAAAAAATCAACGCAAAATAGTGATTTTTGGCAATTTTGAGATGTCCCCTCGTTGCCATGGTAACAGAAAATTTAAGCCTGAGCATGTTGTTGCAAGGGCAATGGTCCAGTCAACATTTGTGCCAAGTTTGATTAGTGTTGAAGCAGTTTTTAGCTCACCTGTCACAAAGTGACAGGGTGAGCTTTTGTGATCGCTTTTCGTCCGCATATGTCCGTCGTCCGTCCGTCCGTCCGTAAACTTTTACTTTAAATGACATCTCCTCATAAACCACTGGGCCAATTTCATCCAAACTTCACAGGAATGTTCCTTTGGTGGTCACCTTTAAAAATTGTTCAAAGAATTTAATTCCATGCAGAACTCTGGTTGCCATGGCAATGGAAAGAAAAAACATTAAATATCTTCTTTTGAAAAACCATAAGAGCTAGAGCTTAGATATTTGGCATGAAACATCTTCTAGTGAGTGTCTACCAAGTTTGTTCAAATAAAAGCCCTGGGGTCAAAATTGGCCCCGCCCCGGGGGGTCATTGATTTTCCCTATATGCATATAGTAAAAACTTAAAAATTCTTCTTTTAAAGAACCCAAAGAGCTAGAGTTAAGATATTTAGCATGAAATATGTTCTAATGGGTGTCTACCAAGTTTGTTCAAATAAAAGCCCTGGGGTCAAAGTTGGCCCCGCCCCGGGGGGGTCATTGATTTTCCCTATATGCATATAGTAAAAACTTAAAAATTCTTCTTTTAAAGAACCAAAATAGTTAGATAAGATATTTAGCATGAAATATGTTCTAATAAGTGTCTACCAAGTTTTTTCAAATAAAAGCCCTGGGGTCAAAATTGGCCCCGCCCTGGGGGGCCCGGGTCATTGATTTTCCCTATATTCATATAGTAAAAACTTAAAAAATCTTCTTTTAAAGAACTTAAAGAGCTATGGCTAAGATATTTAGCATCAAACATGTTCTAATAGGTGTCTACCAAGTTTGTTCAAATAAAAGCCCTGGGGTCAAAATTGGCACTGCCCCGGGGGTCATTGATTTTCCTTATATGTGTAAAGCAAAAACTTAAAAAATCTTCTTTGAAAAAACCCAAATAGCTAGAGTTAAGATATTAAACGTGAAACATCTTTTAGTGAGTGTCTATAAAGTTTGTTCAAATAAAAGACCTGGGGTCAAAATTGGCCCGCCCCGGGGGTCATTGATTTTCTTTATATGTGTATAGCAAAAACTTAAAATCTTCTTTGAAAAAACCCAAATAGCTAGAGTTTAGATATTAAGCATGAAACATCTTCTAGTAAGTGTCTACAAAGTTTGTTCAAATAAAAGTCCTAGGTACAAAACTGGCCCGGCCCCAGGGGTGTCGTTGTTTTTAACTATATGTGTATAGTAAAAACTTTAAAAAAATCTTCTTTTAAAAAGCCCAATGAGCTAGAGCTAAGATGTTTAGCATGAAACATCTTCTTATGGGTGTCTACCAAGTTTGTGTAAAATAAAAGCCCTTGAGTTAAATTGGGCCTTCAACGTTGGGGGGGGGGGGGGGTTTGGGGGGCCTATATACAGGTGAGCGACCTCAGGGCCATCATGGCCCTCTTGTTTTAGTATTATAGCAATTTGAACTTGTAAAGGGAGACTTTTCAATGAAAACAGCCATTTTTCACAAAATGCTCATGAAGTAATGGGTTAAGGGTCAATTCCAAGTATTAGCTTTTAACTTAGCTTTAGTTAAAGAAACTTTTACTTTATTTGTAAAGTTAGCTGACACTTTCAAATTTGTTTTCTAGATTATTTTTAGACACTTTTAAGTCTTCATAGATTTATTGTTAAGAAACATTATCTTGACCCAAGTGGATCTTGAGGGCACAATACCTGTGTTGCATTTTTATTCAGAAGGTCAATTCATGTCCTGACTTTGATTGCAAATGGGTTAAATTAATTTTTTCCTATGAAGAGGCTGATAAAATGCACTGTACCTTTAAAATATGAACTAAGAATAAATTTATATTAATTTCAGGCTAGAGAATTGTCGTTGCTCGGTATATCTGAGGTACAGAAAGATATTCAGAAGGCTGTTGACAGTGTGAAGGCTGTGACATCTGAAACAATTGTTAGTCCTGCTGAAAAATCGTGTTCCCTAAATACAGCTGGTCGCCAAGGGTCACAGGTATGATAATGTGTTATGTTGTTATTATTTACAATTAGCTTACAGAACATTGGTGGTTCAACTCTGGTGCGGTTCTGTCATGCCAGAAATAATGCACAGAGAGCCATCTATTGTTTTCATCAACAAGAAATGTTTGGAAAGTCTCCATATTACCTATTTCTCTTGTATTGATGCAACAAAATAAAAAAAAATAATTGAGTTTGAATATTTACAGTCATGTTGAAGTTTTGAAGTTGATATGCTAACTTTAGAAAAAATAATGTCAAGGAAATTGATTGTAAACTACTTTAGATTTAAGAAATCTACAGCTTTAAAAGTTCATAAAGTGAACTACATGTAAAGTTTATGAAAGATTAAGACAGAGATTTTAACAAAAAGTTATGCTTTATATGATAATAAATTAAGCAAGGTAAAAGCTCTTTTGATATGCTAAACACCCTGACAATTGTTAAACAAATAAACTCTGATGTGATAGATACATCCCAATAAAAATTGAATATTTTTATACAGAAGATAAAACAGTACAAGAGTGCCTTCTCTGATGAAGAAGAAGAAGTCACTGAAGATGTTGTTGATGATAAAATAGAAAGTGATGTTCAAGGTGATCAGGAGCAAACAAGTAATCAAACTACAACAACAAAAGATGGAGAATCAAGGTATGTAGTAACCTAGTTAATAGACAACACTTAATGTATATTACCTGTATCACTATTTATTTTTGACCTTGAACTGCAAGTTTTTGAAGAAAAGAAAAATGAGGTTGCCCCCACACAGCTTAAGGTTTGAATCCCTCCATTGACTTTATATTCTCATGTGAGGAAGCTATCCAGCTGGCTCTAAATTCTATCTTCCTCGGAAGTTCCTCCACCACTTAAGCTGGAAAGTCCCTATATGATCTTTACTGTGTTAGTGCAACATAAAACCCTACGAAATAAAAAAAAAAATAGAAAGACAAAAATCTCGCGCTATCAAAGACTTAAGTCATAATGTTTTGTTTTTCTTTTGCCTAATTTATAGCCCATCAGTACCAGTTAGCCCATCATCTATTGAGCACTCTGTATCAGAAGAGTTCACTGTTGGTTCCCCAGAAGCCCAGGCCGTACCTGTAGAGATGATACCGGATATGATGCCTGTAGAAGAGGCTGCAGAACATCTCGAGTTGCCCACCCAGCATGGTGATAAAACTAGACACAAATCGGGAGATAATGCTTTCTATTTTTATCAAGGTTTGTTGTTGTTTTACTTTTCTATAATTAACCAGATCTTAAGAATTTTTGAAAAAGTTTAATATTTAATTAGTCACTGTTTGTTGAAATTTATGTTTGCTGTCTAAATATAGCTGATGTCTTTTGTGATTGTAGCTTATTTCTTAAACTAAATTAGGTCAGTCCAATTGCGAAAGCAACAGATTAGTAGTCCAGAGGTCACTTGTTCGATCCTTGAGTGAGACATATTTTCTCTGTGACAATAATTGATTTCGGACTGAGTATAATGGTCATTTTTATCTTACCACTGATTGAGAAATCATATGGCACTAGAAGTCGGTCACTTTTACTGAAATTGGTAATTACTGGTTATTGTCGGTTAGATGGATATGAGCAAAAATGTATATAAATCAATGAAAACCAGAAAAACTAACAAATTACACTAAATTATGTAATATTGATGGTAAATTGCTTTATTATTACAGCTGATGATGGTCAACATATCTACCTACATTCTCTTAATGCGAGATGTTTAGTTAAAGAGTATGGTAGCTTAGAACATTGTCCACAGAAAATTACTGCTTCCATTGTAGAGAAAGAAAGTGTGTTTGTCACTGAGGTATGTAATATTATCTATGTACAATGTAATGTCAATATAAAGTCAATTAATGTTTTAATATAGGAAAATTTTACCTGATCTAATTACTGTTTTTTAGTTCTTTAACCATTACCTGTCAGAAGCATAACTGTTATTAGTCTTTGTCATTGAAATGTAAGTTTTGCTCCTTTATTCTGTAATCATATTTTAGGTTATATTTAATGAATGAGTGTTTCTATTTCACTTCCTATATTTTGGAGTGAAATTTTTATAAAAGTATTTTGGCTATTGTAGGAGTTAAGAAAGAGACTGCGCTATTTGAGTCATTTGCCTCTGACCTGTGGTTTTGAAGTCGTAGAATTGGCACTTAGACCACCACTAATAGGGAAAGACACCCTGAAATACTTCACAGGTATAGACCTACTTCTTTAAGAATATGCTTTGTGAAAGGTCATTGATTGATGTACGCGATTACAAATTCTGACAAATGATATTGTTGGAAGATAAGATATTTGAACTATTCTTTATCAAGCGTGAATTTTAAGCTCATATTACATAATGAATTTTGAAATGTTTTGGATTTGGAAGGTTTTAGATGTTTGTTCAGGTTAATGATATCATATAGACCGAGATTAATTTTGTATATGAAAACAGGTCACACATTGTTGAAAATTGTTGCACAAATCTAATGTCGCATTTTGAATTATTTGTTGTTATTAGATGATATTGATAAACGTCGAAGACAACGGCAGAGAAGGGCTCGAGATGATAAAAGAATGGCAAGAATGATTGAAGAACAGGAGAGAAAGAAGCTTGGTCTTGGTAAGATAACCTTCACCTATACTTAATTCATTTTTCACTGTCAAGATAAGGCAATAGTATGTTAAAAACTAAGATTTGTTCATTTTGACAATTTTCAATATCAACTGTTTCAATGATATGTAAAACTCATCTTGTTCAAGACATCAACTTCCAATTTTTTGCCCCTGTAAGTTGTAATTAGCAATCATGCAAGGGATTTCACACTTTTTCTTTTTAGATAACTATCCAAACTTTTAAGGTGGGTTTACACCAATTTTGCTTGTGCTTAAAAATGCATAGAGGGGTACCAGAGGTCTTTACTTTACAAGAAAACACTGATAATATCACCATATTACATTAACAGGGATGGTGAGTCTTAAAATCCAACAAAAACAAAAGATATTTATATATTGTTTTATGATTTACAGGCACAGGGACAATAGTACACAGCCAGTTTCAGCAACAACAACAACAAGGGTACAGTGACAGACAAAGTGATACTAGAAGTGATACCAGCTCTCCACTGTTAGATACACCTGTTGGCAGTCCAGGTATGTCCCTGTGTAGTTGTACACTTCATTAGGAACTTATTTGTATTGGTAAAAATACATTATATATGGTAAAATTTGTCAGTTTTCAATTATGACTTTTTACCTTATAGAAAGTATAAAATAATTTACATGTATGCATTACAATTTACTCTCCATGGCAAAAAGTGGTTTGTCCAAAGCCAGTTTCTAAATATGTATTTCAAAACTTGATGTTTGAGCTGTGAATGATGTTTATTTAAGCTTACATTTGGATGTGACTAATTTCTCGCCCTTCAGCCAGCACTATATGCTGTGTTTTAGATCATTTTACTAAGTACATAGTGGTGGTTATAGTTTCTATGTTGTTTCTGTAATTTGCAGGTTTGAATGTTAATGCAGCCGAGTTCAATCCAGGAACCAGCCCTTGTGAAGAAGGGAGCCAGACATCCACTGTCTCTTTTGCACAGGTGATTAATCTATTTCTTATTACACCTTGAACAGCTTTTAAATACCACCTAAGAATTCAAATTGTAATATTTCAGTATTTATTTTGCCTGTGTGTTTTAAGTCAGTAACATGTACATTATGATAGAGAATATTGATCAAATAAATGCTGTTGAACTGAATTTCTGATGCAAAAATTAGTTTTGCAAAGATCTATAATTAATGTTATTTTTGTTAACATAGATGCTGAAAGCTGGACAGAAGAGTACAGTTTGGCCAAAGATGCAGTCTGAGACGAGCAAGTCGCCTGTGTCGCCATCTAGTGGGCGTGGAGGTAGTGATGAGAGCGATAATGAGGATAAAATACCTGTCCCCAAATATCAGAGCTCGTTTGGAAGTGCTATAGAAGCTGCTTTTGAAAGTATTGGCACAAAGACAGGTATGTTAAATTTAAAAAAAACAACTTCATTTTCATTTCTTTTGTGTTGTTAGACAGGATTATCTTAAGTAAAATACCTCTGATGCCAGTTTCTATTCTTTTTGATGGTCCTCTCCATTGTTGCAAAATGTATAATAAAAGTTCTTCAACACTTTTTGATCAATGCACTATTCTGCTTTATTTGTATTTTGTGAGAAAACGAGCTCGGTAATCAAGGGGTAAAGAGTTCAATCCCCCTGTACTACTTCAGAAATTAAGACTTCTGGAGTGAGTTGCCTGTATAGCTTTATGTTGGTGACTATAACTAAATGGTTATCAAATGCTTTTCTTAAGTACTGTAAACTACAAATCAACTGTACTGTTTCCAGAAAATAGATAAGTTGAATTTAAAGACAATTATAGATGGGAGTTTATATTATCATTGTTCTTGCTGTTAATCTATCATTAATATTTATAAAGAAGTCGTATTCACGATTTACAGAAAGGTTAATATAAATTAAAGCAAAATAAGTTATACTTTTCACTTAAACATATTAAGAGATTTATACAGTTACAGATGTGGCTCTTTGTGGCTGAGGGGTTGCCATTAATGGTTGCGGCATAAAAATTACAGTCACCATTTATCCCTTTGTGATCCTAAGAGGTGACTAAATAGGTTGGAATAACTGGAGTCTATTCATCTATTAGCTCCAGCAGGTGAGGTGGTTTTGACCCCTGGTGCTGCTTTGAAGTTTGTAACACACAAGGTTTAGCCAAAATCATCTTTTCTGACCTGGTGTTGTATAAACCTACTATACTGTATTGGTGCACCGTAAAACCATGCAAATGTTAAAACATTAGGTACAGATAAATAGCTAATCATTTTGACTAACGGCAGTATTATTTGTTTACAGAATCATCAAGTCCACAGGCAACTGGATCAACAGCTCAGACTACACCAGGAAGTGGCAAGAAAAAGAAGAAACAACTTGTTCTATTTTCAACATCAATGGCAAGAGGAGGAAAATAGAGGGAAATAATGGCAAACAGGAATATAATGGCAAACAGAGCTAATTTTACATATGTTCATTGACAACTGCCAATCAATAACAAACAGACTGTGATTCTGTGACATTAGGATAGTTAAACAATTAAAAGTGCAAATTGTGTGTGTTTTAAGTGATATCTTAATTATTTAAACTGCATCATAGGTGCTTTTGGTGTTACAATTAGTGGATATATGTTGTGAAAGTTACTGCATATATACTAAAAACATGGTGTTTTCCCAAATGGAATTATCCCTGAATATATTCTATCACAACAGTGGTCAGTGTGTGTGGAAGCTTTAAAAACTAGCATAGTATCAGGAAAAAAGACCTTGTATATTTAGCATTGGGTTGGAAGGGTTAAATTATGTTGATAATTTTTTGTTATTTGTTTTATTATGCTTGTTTTTTTCTGTATGTAAATTATTTAAAGGTATGAATTCAGATCGTTTGAGTATTCAGACAAATACTTTTTGATTTCTCAATAAAATTGTGAAGAATCAAAAATTTATTAACTAATTAAAATGAATATAAATTTGCTTCTGATAATTGTGTGTTTGTACATGGCCTCGTTCTGATTTCTGAAGTGAAATCTCGTATTAGACCTAGAGGTATTCCACCAACCAATGGGATGCCTTGTGTAAAGTCTTAATACTTTTCATTACGGAAACAGAACGGGGCCATACTTACATATCAGTAAGGATTATGGAACCTAGTGAGCTTGACGATGTATGGTAGTCATCATATTGGTATATTTTTTGAAGTAATAATGTCACAGTGTTAAACACTTTATAATGTGATGGAAATGAATTTAAGAAATGGAAAACTTGACTGAATGCAAAAGTGACTTTGAGTTTATTACCCGAAATAATAACTGATTCATTAAGGGTCGTAATACTTAATACAGAACAAAAGAATTCTGAATTTTGATGATTTTGTATCACCCAGTGTAAGTTAGAATGTATTTATATTAGTTTTGGATTTTGAAACTTGATAAAATTATGATTAAATAAAAGTGGAAAGGTCTTTGCTTAACATACTGTTAACATTCTTTATATATTTTATAAAAAAAACCATCATGATATATTTCTTATATATATTTAAATGTATATTAATTTTGTACTTGTTTATCATCCTAAGACAGCTTTCCTAGTTTGTACATCTTGAAAAGTATTTAGTTTTTTATGTAGAATATTAAAGCATAATTACACTATCACATGTATACTTTGCTATGATATTTTCCGAAGTCTTGAACATGTTTTATTCCTATAGTTGTAAAATTAATGCCTGTTTTGTTACCAGTTTCAGCAATAAACGCTAAAATGTTAGATATGTTTGATTTTTTACTTCATAATTTATCAATACATACAATAATGTACATATGATGTAAACTACAAGCCCTGTTGTTTGAAGATATTGATTTGGAATGATTAACTTTTACCGCTCTCTTACAAATTTGAATCCTGTGTGTGTTTGGGTTTGTTGACCCTCGCCACCGGAAAGAGACCATATGAGCAAGTATTTTGAATCCTGACTGGGACATACAAAAGTTAAAGATCCTGTATGTTGCAATTGAGGTTGTTTACCACATTTAAATGAAATTATATATACATTATGTATATAATTATGCTTATAAAACAATTTTCAAACATAGAAGAATATGTAAAATATGTACTGCAAATATTTGTTCATAATTATATGTAATGATGCATTCATTTCTTACTGGAAAATTTGACTTGGTCTTCATAAAAAATATTTTTTTTATTACCACCTTTCATTAACATGAAATGTTAAATTTGGTAATATCTTTATACACTGCCCTCCAAAAGTTCCTTGACCGACAACATTTTTTAAGATTTTTGGCTTTACTTATGTAAAACAAAGTTTTACATTATTTTTTATAACATTTATTTATACATTATACCCATATTTTAAGATATGAATACCTGAAATTACAAAAATACACAACTCAACAAAAACAGAACATAACACCACTTTGCTAGATTTCATATCATGGAAATCAACTTCTGTCAATATTTAGTGTAGCCACCATTAGCAGCTAAGACAGCCTGAACACGCCTAGGCATGCTATTCACTAGTCTCTCACAACGTTCCACTGCAATTTCCTCCCAACACTGCCTTACATTCATATCCAGTTCGTTAAGATGTGCACTTCGTCGTTTTAAGAGCTTTCTTGATGTCCCACCACAGATTTTCAATCGGGTTCAAGTCTGGAGACTGAGGAGGCCACCCTAAATTTCGAATTCCATTGGTATTCTTCCATTCTGTGACAATCCTTGCCCTATGACAAGGTGCGCCATAGTCCTGGAGCCAGAAATTTCCTCCATACCGATGGCACAGCACTATTGCCAAGAATATCAATGTATCCCACGGCATTTAAGTTACCAGTAACTCTCGTGAGAAATGCAGTCCCGCGATACGACATGGCGCCCCACATCATGATCCCCCCTCCACCAAATTTGAATGTTGGCACCACACAATCATCTCTAAGCTGCTCACCATGCCGCCTCCTGACGAAGGTTGGTCCATCACTCTGAAACATTGTGAACCATGACTCATCAGTCCACAAAACTGCCGACCAATCAACCCGTGTCCACGTCGAATGCTCTCTGGCGAATGTTAATCTCAGATTTCTGTGCCTCTGGGTCAGCATAGGCTTTTTCTGGGCAACATGTCCAGTCAAACCAACATCCTTCAGTCGCCTACGGACAGTTGAAGTAGAGGAAGCTACACCAGCATGGTTCCATGATGCTGTAAGATCCGGAACCGTCAGGCTCCTGTTCTGCAGTGACTCTCGAATAAGACGGCGGTCATCACGAGCGTTGGACAATCTGGGTCTACCAGATCTGGGCAGATCAGCATGGCTACCTTGGTTGTTGTACCTTGTCAGAGCAGCATACACAGAATGCCTGCAAGAAAATAAAAGAAATCTAAGTAAGACCAAGACAAACATTCAAACAAATCTCATTTCTAAGATTTCACAGCAAAAAAATTACTTTAAAGAGACAATAAAATGCAGTGAGAGAAAAAAAAAACTTACCTTGAGCACCCAATTTGGTCTGCAATGTCTTTGGTCGTATTTGTTTTGCAAACCCGAGTGTCGAGTCTCAACACTAGGGCAAAACTAACACCGGGAACGTAACTCTCGCGTGTCAAGAACCTACTCTCCATTTGATGAGGAATGAGCAAGAACGTGACGTCAGAAAATGGCGGAAAGCAATGTGAAAGACTTTTGATATGTTATACAATATAGGTCTGGGGTTTCAAAACACTCAACATATTTTCTGTTGCAATTTGTTTGAGGTTTGGGTGTATTTTGAGCTAGAATGACTGGACTATCAGATGATTCTTCAAAATACTGCGGCGTCCATTTTGTAACCAAGAACGCTGTTCATGCTGATAGTTTTGAACAGCTAGTGCGACAATACTACGCATGCTCAGGATGCCTAAACTCTACACTCGGGTTTGCAAAACAAATACGACCTTTGATATTGACGCCCTGATCACGTAAAACCTTGATGGTGACCCGCTGTTCTTGAGTTAAAGCTACCATGATGACATGATGACAATGTTGAAAACTTGAATTAACGTTCTCTTATATCCAAATAATAAAATGTTATTTCATTAAGGTTATGAAAATGTGTCAAACTGGATGCATGTTTTATGGAAGAGATACTCTTTGCAATGATTTTGACCACCCTAAGAAAATACTTATATATATATAATAATATTCTGACCCATCTTACTGTTTTACTCACTATAGAAGTTAAATTATTCTTAAAAAGGGAGATAATATGTAAATTATTATAATTTTAACCACTGAAGCATCTGTACTGATTTCCAAATAAAAATACTTAGGAAAAACAGTGAAAAAAGGTGTGTGAAGGAATTTTTGGATGACAGTGTAAATAATGCTTTTTGGAACTTGCAAAATTTATAAATCTTAATTTGAGCATCATATTTATGTTTTAAAACCATAAAAATTTGTACAGGATCTTTTTTTCATGTGAGGAAGCTATTTAACAAGTTAACGGGTGGTAGAAGATTCTACTCTAGTATCAGTTTGTTTCCATATTAAAGCACGAAGAGGGGCATCTGAGGTCTTTTATCTGAAAAAGAGTGATGTGACCACAAATTGTGTTTTAAAAGAAAACCTGTCCGATAAGAAAAAAACGCACCATTGGCTTCAAATTTGAATTATCCTAACAAATTGGAAAGCGAAGATCTTGTCATGTTATATGGCTGCGACGTTAGCTTTCTTACCTTTTTTATGGGCTTTGAAATTTGATAAAGTCTGTTGGAATAACTTAATTAAGTTCTTATTCTGATGGACTCAAAATTTACACACTGATATCAGTACATACATGTAGTCCCTGATGTTACTAGTATTATGTTACACAACACTGTTTATTGCAGTGTTTGTTAATATTTCAGTTATCGCACCTTTATGTGGTTTGAAAACCGGTTTGATGATCCTTTTTTACAAGTTGGTTCTTAAGGTAAAGCTTAGTAATAGAAAGCATCGAAACGCGAGGCTATGGATTTGTACGAGGGGGCGTAGCCCCTGTTCACTTTATTATGGCTGGATTTGCCCTGGTTGAAAATATCTTTGCATAATCTGATTTCACACTTTTTTTATCACAATAACATGTAATGGGTGAGAAATTATGCATTATATAATTGCAGTATATGTGGCCAAATTAATTTAATTGTAGCAAAATTTAATGGCTTATGATAAATATTCCATACAAAAAATTGAGTACCGCTCAAGCCGGTGCTAGGGGGCGTGAGGGATGTTGCATGTATTCATTATCCCTCATGTACAGACTCAATCAAACCGAGTCTGCAATTCTCTTGTAATTTTGTTGTGATAAATGCTTCCGAGGGATCACTTTGTTTCCAGATTTTTATGAACTGAGCAAGTCTTCAGGTACAGTTTTATTATTTTATTGAAGCGCACTTAGTGGCTTAAAGTGTAAACAAAATAATGTCATGATAATATCAAATATAATATTCCACAATATATTAAAATATATATATACAGCAGTGACGTAAATCCAACGTATCCTTTCTATAAACCTCGAGGAATAACAAGTTATAGCATAAGCCTATCACACGCACACGTTATATGCAGTTTGAAATATTTATAAAAGAGAGGCGAATAAAGATTGAAAGAAAAAAAACACGAAAGCTTGCAAATTGAGCCGCATACCAAACCCCGCCCCTTCTAAATACACTGATGTAAAGCTTTGTTTCGGAATGAATTTACATTATGTTTTATTTGGCTGTATTTTCTATGGATTGGAGATCAACCATTCAATCGATGCTGCAATGTTTTTCACAAATAACATGTAATTTGACTATTTTCTTGTATTCTTCATCTATACTTTCACATTTTAGATTGTCAAAACTTTGCATTCACATTCACATTTTAGATTGTCACAACTACGCATTCACATTCACATTTTAGATTGTCACAACTTTGCATTCACATTTTAGATTGTCACAACTACGCATTCACATTTTAGATTGTCACAATTACGCATTCACATTTTAGATTGTCACAACTACGCATTCACATTCACATTTTAGATGGTCACAATTACGCATTCACATTTTAAAATGTCACAAGAACGGGGTCGGTGTTGTATTCTCTCACACACGCTCGAGGTATGTAGCCTACATTTCGGTGGTGTTTCACCTTCACACAGCCTGGAATGTTTGAATCTCCTAGGAATTCCAGAATATCACCCTCTCTTGCTGATATCTCAGAGACGGACTGAAATTAAATGGAGTATATAAATTTAGTTTTGCATTGCAAGTACATGATACAGTGAATATATAGTCCATGGGCTGATTGAAAACAGTGATGTACCAATCACTTGTAAACCTGACCCCAAACAAGGTAACAATATCCAACCCAAAAGAAAGGGATAAGGGCGCATCCTCAAACAATGGGTTAAACAAGGGATAGTGCCAGACCCCCAAACAAAGGATATTGCCAGACCCCAAACAAGGGGATAGGGACCGACTTCTAAACAAGGGATAGTGCCAGGCCCCCAAAACAAAGGATATTGCCAGACCCCAAACAATGGGATAGGGACCGACTTCTAAACAAAGGATATTGCCAGACTCCAAACAAGGGGATAGGGACTGACTTCTAAACAAAGGATAGTGCCAGACCCACAAAACAAAGGATATTGCCAGACCCCAAACAATGGGATAGGGACTGACTTCTAAACAAAGGATATTGCCAGACTCCAAACAAGGGGATAGGGACCGACCCCCAAAACAAAGGGATAGGGCCGGACCCCAAAACAAGGGGATAGGGGAAGTTAATCAGACTGTTTGCATACAAGATGTTGCAAATTTCATGGTTATAAATACAGCTTCAAAGTAGCGGGGATAATTCCAACTCGCATTTAAAGGGGATTTTATTATCAAGACGTTGTAACGTGCGATGTTAAAGTCCCTGGGTTGGGACAGGATTGCAAATGACTGGTACTTAAGGGAATAAAGAGAGTTGGTGTAATGGTTAGTAGAAGCGGAATCTAAATTAGTTCACTTCATACGCAATCGAACTAAAGTAAATCATGTTTTTAATTTCAATTTTTATTGCATTAACTGTTAAAGTAACATTGAGCTAGCTAGACAACGTTATTATATCGTACATATGTTATAAGAAAAAAAAAATTAAATATTAAGAACATTAATTACTTAATTATAAGTACATCATTGGTCTTAAGTCACATAAATGGATGTATTGCTATTGAGTAAAATACCGGTACAAAGTGCGTTTAAATAATATAATCAAAGCACTAGAGTTACTAGTAATGTATATTAGATAACAGTATATGACAGAAAACAAGCCCACCTATACAGTATGTATGCACGTTTATATACGCATGTTACAAAGATCACGTGATCATGGACATTAGAACACATATAGATCTACATTTTTAGCTTTGTAGAGTGCTATATACAGGTAAGATACATATCTTTGACATGATTTAACGAACAAACAACTACCGGTTAGATAAGCGGTCATATGTGGGCGTCCAACTGCCAGCCGATCGGATGAGGGACGTACGTAGTGTTTAATGCTGTTATTATATATACTTTTATATAAAAAGATACATTGATGATTTTTCATAAAATTATGTTCAAAGTATTCAAATACGAAAGGCCTGTTAAAATCTTTCAACAATTGCCAATTGTTTTCCCTTACACCATTTACTACGGATGAAAAAGATACACTTTCTCAACGATCGAATAAATGGCGGCAGGTGCGTCTAACCGTGTCGCTTATCCCCAGTTGCTGGTCTTGTTACATCATATCTAAGCAAGTATTTATCAACAAATATTACAAAGTTCACCGTAATATTATACATATAGATATTAAATCACATATACAAAAATGGGTAGATTAGATTACGGTCATAAACAATGTACTTTTAACAAAACACTTTTAAGTCCAAGCTAGATATTACAAATATATGTACTAAATATATAGATAAATATACAGTGGTGTGCAATGTACACATGTTATAAAGCTTATATGACCATTATCTAAGATCACATACATGAAATGATAGGTAAAAAATGTTCTATATGTGAATGAGGGGTATATCTAATAACGCCCGATGTTACTGTTACGAAGCTCACGTGTGTAAAGTATGGCCTTTTAATCAAATGCACGTACGTTGATGTCTTTTTTATCGGGTTTTCAACAACATATGTTACAAAGCCTACATGACCATAAACTTTCAATCAAATTCATGACTCGAATTAGAAGAGAACTGTACAGACTACATTAAAAATTATATAAAGCAGACTGTATGTAAACACGATTCTTGGGTTTATACATGTGGATTGATCAATAATTAGTGCTGTTGTAACGTAGATTTGGTGTTATAAAGCAATTCCACAAAATTTGTTTTATACGTCTTATAATTCTTTGATCATGAATGACCATATTGTCAGATATACTACGACTGCATTAATTTGTCAGTCCATCTTGCCTTCTGTTTCGTAAGATATTTTGAAACCCTTTATAATAACGATGGACAGTTTCAAGAAAAGTTTGTCATGTCCATTTCTTACACGTAACTTAGTAAATATTTGGCATTTACTTTACCTGCGAGTTCTAATAATCTAGACATCGCATAAGTACAATACAAAAAAAAAAAAAAAAAAAGAAATGGTAAGATGGAATGTAAAAAAGCTAATAATTTGTCATAGTCAATATAAATAACAAACCGAAAGGGTAATACTCATTAGTTTTAAATTTCTTAATTAATAGCGTGACATATACGAGTATAATATACCACATATTGTGAACAGAATATTTTTTCTTCCATTAAAGCGTCAGGTAGAAAAATACGTGTTTTTTATATTTCATGTTAGGTGATTTGCTACAAGGAACTTTTGAACTTTTGGAGCAATCCCGTTTCTTTCCGCTTTATATGAACAACATGGGTTTGATAGCACCTTGAAAAAAAGGTCGACTTTTTGTATTGTACTTATGCTACAAGGAACTTTTGGAGCAATCCCGTTTCTTTCCGCTTTATATGAACAACATGGGTTTGATAGCACCTTGAAAAAACACAATGTTGATATAACGTAACATCTCCTCAGAACAACACACCCATTGGGATACAATTAATTTGTTTGCTTCTGAGATGGCCTGTTATAAATTGGTTAGATGTAATTGGAAAGAATTGATAATAATGTTGTAAATAAACCATTGCTCAAAAAATAAATAATGTTTTTAAAATTGGACAACATGTCTTGGAAATTGTAAATGAATATGAATATCTAGGGATATATTTCAATAAAAGTGGTTCATTTTATAAATCTAAAATACAAATAGCTGAACAAGCTAATAAAGCACTATTTGCATTACTGAGGAAAATTAAAACTTTGGCTTTACCATTTGACCTACAAATTGAATTATTTGAAAAAACTATCAAGCCTATTTTACTGTACGGAAGCGAAATTTGGGGATATGGAAATGTTAATGTTTTAGAGAGAATTCAGCTGAAATTTCTCAAATATATATTTAAATTTAAAAAGTCAACCCCGTCTTATATGATATATGGTGAAACAGGTGTCCTACCACTCAGTGTGCATATCAAACACAGAGTAATTACATTTTGGACAAGACTTATTGAAAATATCAATAGTGATGAACCAACAAAATTATCTTCAACGGTATATATTTTCTTACGTAAATAACATATAGATAATAAAGTTAAATCACTGTGGATAGAAAATGTAAAACAATATTTATGTGAAACTAGTTTTTCTGGGATTTGGTCCATAGAAAGTTTTAGCAATAGTAAGTGGTTGATAAAAACAACATTTCAAAAGTTAAAAGATATTTACTCGCAAAATTGGCATTCTGAACTATATAACACTTCTGATCCAAACGTTTACAAATATATCAAAAAGGATTTTTCTAGAAGCTGTTACATAGATAAACTACCAAGCAATTTAGCTAATAAATTATTACTATTTTTGACAAGAAATCATCGCCTTCCAATTGAAATAGGACGATGGCAGAATATACCTATTCAAGACCGTAAATGTAATATATGTAACGATATTGGCGATGAATTTCATTATCTTTTTGTATGCCCAGAATTTGAAAATGATAGAAAAATATACATAGATAATTTTTACATAAATAGGCCAAGTATGTTTAAATTTGTAAGCCTGGTCACATCGGAAAATACAAATAAACTAAAGAATCTTAGTATTTTTTGTATGAAAATAATGCAACATTTTATTAGAACTTGATGTGTTTTACTAGACAATTTTAAATCATGTCTTAAATTAATATATGCGAAAGATAAGTTATGACCTTTTTTCTTTTTGTGTGTCTTTGATGATTGAATTTTGTAATAATTATTCTTTTCACTTACATATATAATTATACCCAGCTCAATTTTATAGCTTAAATAAATATGAATGTGTTAGGCTCTGTTCTTGGAAATCTCAATAGCCGTTTTCTACTACATTATGTTATGTGATTCTATGTATGTATGTATGCATTTATGTATGTCACAATTTGCTTATGTTTCCCGCTATTGTGGGACTTTTGCATATATTGAAAATAAAAATCCGGTCTACAGGCGTTGCACTGTATATCTATTATTTAAAGATTGAACAATTAAAAGTTAGACAACAATAAAAGCAGTGGCAACAAAACTGAACACATATTTTTAGACGAATATTTAGTAAGATTAGTAAGTAAAGCAATTGTCCCTGGATTTACATGTTCTGTGATCTTTTGGTTTACTTAATTACAGGAAAATGATTAGAACTAATCTTGGTCTTCGTTCTTTAAAATACTTCCATTACTAACTGTTATTGACAAACGAAGGCACTTTAGGAAAGTACACTAAAGAAGTAACCTTTTATAAGGAAAGTGAAGTGGTAATGACTGTTGGGAACGTTTGATAAAAAAGGAACAGTTTTGAGGAAATCTCAGTGGAAAGATACATTTTAGAAGGGAACGTGTACATATTACTCCTAGACAATCAATTCTGACCATAACTAGGACGTGTTGTAATAAAGGAACACATTAGAGGGAAAGCTAAGTAGAAAGGGACATATTGAATCAAAATTTAGTAGACATGTTATAGGAAAGATTTAGTAGAAAGGAACATACTAGATGGAAAGTTTAATAGAAAGGAAAATTTAAGAGGAAAAGTTTAGTAGAAAGGAACATGTTAGAGGAAAAGTTTAGTAGAAAGGAACATGTTAGAGGAAAAGTTTAGTAGAAAGGAATATGTCAGAGGAAAAGTTTAGTAAAAAAGAAACATGTAAGAGGAAAGGTTTAGTATAGAAAGGAATATGTATTTAAGAGGAAAAGTTAAGTAAAAGGAACATGCAAGAGGAAAAGTTGAGTAGAAAGGAATATGTATATAAGAGGAAAAGTTTAGTAAAAAGAAACATGTAAGAGGAAAAGTTGAATGGAAAGGAACATGTATGAAGAAAAGTTTAGTAGAAAGGAACAAGTTTAAGGTATATAGTTTCTGAAAAGGAACACGTAAGAAGGAACGAAGTTTAGTGAAATGGTAGGTGACTAGACACGCCCTGGTTACACCCAGGTATTCCAACCAGTGGAAAAGTTGGAGCTCGTGGAAAGAAATGAGTCCGCCCAAAACATGACATGAGCGTTATCTTTATATAGTAATTTTGGTGGTATGGTATAATATTATACATGTAGTACTTTACGTGCTTTACAAGGTGCATTTGTTAGTAAAAATGATACTACCGAAGAGTTAGTTTTTTGATGATCACGCACTACTTTAAGGTATATCTTACGGGAGTTGGGGTTGCTTTCTGGAGCCGGATTATCCACTGTAGCGTACAAGTCGTCATCTGGCACTGGTTCATATAGACAGACAAACATACAATAATATCAGAATTCTTCTAACAAAATATTTAAAAAAAGGTTTTATTGTGGACTTTACAACGAGTTTTTACTGTATTTTATAATTTAAAAACTATTGCTAGTTTACAAAATACAGTAAACACTCTTTTATTAAGCCCACAAATGAAATCGGCCATCTATACCATCTATAAAAGTAGTGGTAATATAATTTTCATCCTTTTTTTCTTTTTGTTTTTTCTTTTTTGATAATGAATATCTAACAATATTGATTACACTTGGTGTTTCAAAAAAATAAATAAAAATAATAGATTAATGAATAAATAGATAGATAAATACAAAGAAATAAATAAATAGATAAATAATTATAATAATAATAATAAAAACAACAACAACAACAACAATAATAATAACAATAAATAATAATGATAATAGGGTAATAGGGAAATGTCTTTTACAGCAATAAAATCAAAAGTAAAAATAAAGAAAGTAAAAGAACTGATTGGATATGTTCATGAGAGATTACAAAGGTGCATCATCTTTCACAATTAATGGCCTTTAGTGACAGGTTTTCTGTGTACTTTTTTCTTATTTAGTGACGGATCACAAGAACAAGTGTGACTGTATAATCAATATGATACAAATCTGACATCAATGATACTTCGATCCTTTTTTTAAATCTTGACCTTTGGTCAGTCAATTCTTGCCAATGTTGTTAAATAAGCAAAATAAGCATTTCTCACATTGGAATTATGAACAAAAATTTCAAGTCACACCACTATTATACATTGTCAAATAATGCTTTGCTTTTCTGTTGTAAGGGAATGTGAAAACGTTAAATGGGAGTTCAACAGAAGTTGAAATAAAATAATAATAATAATAATAATAATGAATTACCTATTCAGACAAAATGTACACGGTGTTGATATTACGCCATAAACTTGTTACAGAGTTATTTTGTTTTAGAAAAATGAAAACAATTGTCCAATCCCACCTATCAGCTTTCTGTTTTTTTTCTGTTGTCTTTTTATTAAAAAGATATCGAATTGTTGTGGAATCATTAAATATCACCACCCTCTGTTGCAAAACTATTCTTTTGATGTCTTAATATCTGCGTAACAGGCATTATTTTTCTTCCGAGTTTAAAAAAGAAGCTTTATAAAGAGAACAGCAAAGTTTGGAATTTCCAGGCATTCACACTTTTCAGTTCAGGAAAAAAAATCACTGTGAAAGCATTGATCAATGAATTTGAAAAAGTACATTCGCTTCTGGACCTTCATTAGAATCTTCAGATTCTTTTTAGCAATTTAAATGAAACAAATTATATGAAACAGTCGTTTTAATCTTTATATTAGCCCCTTTGACACTCATCATGTTGTATTTTCTATTCCTACAATTTTTTTTTGAATTAACAGAAAACATGCGTTTTACAAATTAATTATAGCCATTTATAAATTACGTCATATTGCTGAATTATTTTCGGCACCTCTTATATTTGGTAACATTCCTTTGTGTATCATTTTACATATTCAATGAATATTGTCTCACTAATAAATACCGTAATAAAATGTGATAGTCCAAAACTACATAATGATACACACATACCGCTACAAAATCTCCAAAACTACATAATGATACACACATACCGCTACAAAATGTCTAAAATTACATTATAATACACAAATACCGTAATGAAATCTCCAAAACTACATTATGATACACAAATACCGTAACAAAATGTCCAAAACTACATTATTAATTACACGAATACCGTAATGAAATCTCCAAAACTACATAACATGGTTACACAAATATCGTAATAAAAAGTCCAAAAACTTTATTATGATAAAAATACCGTAACAAAATGTCCTAACCTACATAAATACCGTAATAAAATCCAACAACTACATAATGATACACAAATATCGTAATAAAAAGTCCAAAAACTTTATTAAGATAAAAAAATACCGTAACAAAATGTCCAAAACTACATAAATACATAAATAACTACATTATCAAAGACAAATACCATAATAATAAATGTCCAAAACTGCAAAATGAAACATAAATACCGTAATAAAATGTCCAAAAACTGCATTATGATGCACACAAAAATTATAATTAAATGTCCAAAACTAACTTGCGATATAAAATGTCCAAGATTACAAAAGAAGGCATGGTATACATCTAACATAATTTGTGCCTTGACATTAATGAAAACAGATATTTATCAGTGCAATATCGTTGACAAAGAGAAAGGTCTCTGTTCATGCTAAGTTCCACATTGCGGATTGTCATAACAATACAACAACCGTGTAACCGATTTGTTCAATTTGATTAAATAAAAATTATTAAACGATAGAACAGATCTAGTAGAATAAGTACGGGGATATATCTTTTCACGAAATATCGATGTACATTTTTTATTGGAGTAAAACGTAACACGTGTCAACGTCTCTTAAAGCTGCACGTCTCCAGATGAGACAAGATATTTCAGGAAAATCAAAATTGAGAACATGTACTAAGATTTTGAGAAAAGTAAAAAAGATTCACGATTGAACTTTTAATAAGCATGATATTTGCGATTAATGACTGATTTTGTAGTATATAATACTATATTTCGATTGCGTTTCTTACGTAAGGCCGTTTGCAATGTGTAATTTACCCTCTTTGTTTACTTCATATTATTGTACTTTTTAATACATTGTCAACATTTTTACGAAAATTAGCATGAATCTGGAGGCATGCTGCTTTAATGCTAGCGACAATATTGACAGGCATTTCAATGCACACAATCCACAGCGAGACAAACTTAAATATCTTTGCAGACTCCAGATGTTTGTTTAACTTGCTGTATAATAAAGTGTTCATTGGCTGCCGAGTTGTCCACTTAAATGAATATTATAAATAAGAAATAATGAAAAAATGGCGTTCCACATATTTGAAACCTCGTCTCGCATATCCAATTTCTGTAATATATGAGAATTGTATGGTGGCTGATATGTACCACGTCGTATTTTAACTCCGCGGGACGAAAACTTGAAAATATATTAAAGTCAACAAATTGTTGTACTTTTGCTCGGAGGGCGCAAGGCGAAAATACGAAAACACGACAAAGTCACCTGACTGTCCTATTGTTGTGTTTTCGCACTGCGCCCCGCCGAGCGAAAGTACGACAAAGATGTCACGTTTTCTATTTTAGTCTATTCGCCTGGCGCCCCGCGAGCGAAAATATAACATGGCACACACCAGCCACCATACATCGGTATTTAATTTCAATACCAAACCATACATACCATTGGTTCTAGGGGGAGGTCTAGTAGGTGATGGCGGTTTTATTGGCGGTCGTGCGGGAGTTTGTTTTGGGAGTATACCCACTGGGGGCAATCCAGCCTGCGGGCGACTTGGTGGCAGTGCCTTTCCGTTGTAATAATTTTCGTAAGGAATTGGGTCTGAAACATTAGAATATTTTTGATTGATGATTATTGAATGATGATTATTTTAAGTCATATCCAGATATCAAACACTTATTAAGTTATTCTATCCGATAACGTATGGATTTAACTGGTTTACTCACAGCCACAAATACTACTCAATAACATGTAAATGTACCTGATATCTTAGGGCAATAGGTTTGCTACTCGATAACGCATAATTTAACATGGTATCCGTTAACAACATGTATTATTCCCCGATAACGCTCAAATCTACTAGGTTCTCGCGGTGCAACATGGTTTTACCCGATAACAGGTATTAAATTAGGGTTATCAATGCAATACAGTGTATGTTGGCTACTTGATAACGTTTGTATTCTTGTACCATAGTAGAACGTATCTCCTACTCAATAACAAGTCATAAATTAACCTGGTTATCAATGCAATGTGTTGGCTACTCGATAACGTGTGTATTCTTGTAAATTTACCTCGCTTTGTAACACGTTTGCTACTCAATAACAGTTGCAAAAATAAAAACGATGAAATATGTTTATATAGGTATTTACAAATATAACTTGGC